ACAAAGGGGGAACCGGGGGAAAAAAAGCGGGCGCCTCGGGGGAAAACCCGGGGAACCAGGGATGGGCCCCCCCCCCCCCCCACGGCACCAGGTTACCGTTTTTTTTTTTACCTCGTTTTTTTTTTTGGCGGTAACCATAATGGTGGTCGAGTAGATCATGTTGTGCGGGGTCGAGAACCCTCACTCCGCGCAACGGGGGATGATCGCACCACGTTGTGTTAAAATGGTCAAGCTTCCTAGAGGCAGTTACACAGTGCTTACAACTGTCTCTGGAAGTGAAAGCACCAGAAAATAAATTAAGTCATACGTAGCTGTCATCCGTACGCAAGGAAGTAAGCACAAGATGCTGAACACCCTTAGCAGGATGCAGCTCACCCTTCATGCGACTCGCCAAATACCTCACGGCGCTTCGCGCTTGGTGATGTGAGAGCCTGGTCCGGTGAGAACCCGGCGTGCTCCGTCCCGGCTTTGTAGGGATGCGAGGTCAATGGTCAAACGACTACGGCATGCACGACTATGAGTACACCCCCCCACCCCCACGGACCCCGATTTTCAGTAAGTAGGCCTATGTATCTTGATTTTGTTTTCGCGTAGACCCTTGTTGCGCCCGATACATGGGAATAAAAATCTGTGTATGAGACTTCTGAAAGCAAGCCGATGAACCTCTTGTACCGATGGAATTTTCCGGGCAAGACAGTGCTTATCACAGGGATGGCAACCCTGGAGCAGCGTGTCCATGGCTTGAAGTAAGCTTGACGGACTCGGGCATTAACTTTTGTAAGGAAGCACGATGACCACTAGAAAGACTACTAGGCAGCGGCGCTGACTAGTAGTCTAGTGGTCATCGTGCTTCTCCACAATTTGCATCTTGGTACTTTCCCGTCTCGAACCTCAGCTAGCTGGTGCACCCGGCTTTTCGTCAGAGCACAACGAGCAAGCATCTCGTCTCTTCCGGCCTTTGCAGAGGGCAACACAAGACAGAAAAAGAGAATATCACAACTAAATTGGGCTGAACAATTATTGTTGGCCCCCAAAGTCGTGAATGAGCCAAATACTACTTGGGGTATGGTAAACAAGCGTCCCTCTCACAGTACCATGGGGCGACGTTGTTGTACGAGGTTACATGTAGACGTAATACGACACACGAGGAAGGATTATCTGCTTGTCACTTCACTGTAGCCGCTGTCGTCTTGCTGGGATCACGCAGGAGAGGAGCACTGACGGGAGGGTGGACCCTGCACGTGGGCACCTACTGCACTAGGCCAAGACAGAGAGGCGCGGGGAGCTACGGCGTACCGTGTTAGCTCCCGTAGATATCACAGCATGCGAGTAACCGACGAAGCGATTTCGTTGGCGTCAACCCTTCTTCTAGTTTGGGCGGTACTGCTGTAGTCACCCGGAGGACATACTTTAACACACGATGTCCAATTGAAGGCACTCTTCTTTTCGGCGAAAGGATGCCACGCTAAGCTCAGTGGATTCAAGCGAGCCACGCCATTGTGTGCGAGGCTGAATGGGGGAGCCCCTCATAAGGCCGCGGTTAGCGGCTTCATGGCTCTTTGCGACGGCTTTGCACTCCATTCCTTGAAACGGAATCCGTCTCACAGCCGTGATCGACGCCAATCACTGGCGTTCAGTGTGTTCATGCAAGACCGTCATCACGGCGGAGTTCAAGTCGGTGCAACTCTGGTAAGGAGAAGCACAGCGCAACCGGGTGAGAATGTCGCCTCGAAATATCACTACTGGACTCGACTCCCGACCGGTGGTACGAGTGTCGTCGCCATCCAGGCGTGGCGAAAAATATCTTTGGACAGACACTAATGCTATGGTAGGTGGATGCGCTTTTGGGATGAAATCTTACAGCTTTGGGACGGAACGTGTAGTCCTGTTTCGGTGATCTTACGGCGAAATCGGATGGGGCCAACAAGTTTACCTACCCAGTGTGTGTCTCCCCACCCAAACGTCCACTAAGATGAGGTGACCCCCTACCGTAGCATCACGCTTTCGTGCTTACGGTAAGGGATTGGAACGAGATCAACTCATGGCCAGCGGTTGCCACTCCCAGCTCGACCACCCGTCTGAGGTAAGCAGAAGCGGAACGGCGGTGCCGTTGCTTTTCGGCCACGGCCGCATAGCCTTCTTTGGCCGTTTCGGCCTCCTCCCACTCGGCGATGACGACGACGACGTTGACCTTGAAGACCCCCCATATGTTTCCGATGCGGTGCGTCCTTCTATTTCCTTTGGAGAACAAGACCTAGCCCCCTTTCTCGCGTCCTTTCCCGGTGAAGTTGTAAGTGTTCCTTCAGGCCAGAAGTTTGCTACAACTTCCTCGTACTTCACATCGCTGTGCCCCCCCATGGCTCCCTCTGCTGCCGCCATGGGGGGACTGCCTGCCCACTTGCTGCCCTTGACCCGTTGGCTTGCGTGAGCAGCCGATACTGCACTCCCGCTGCCGCCGCCGCCGCCGCCGCCGAAGCTGCTGCCTCCGCTGCTGCTGCTACCGACGCCACAGGGTCCTCTCAAGTCCCACACTCCCCCGTCGCGAGTCGCCGCTACCGGCAAGCGGGGGCCACCCCAGGAATCGTTGCGTTCGTCTGCTGCCGTGCTCACCGGTCCATTCTCCTCGGCGCTACGAGCAAAACTCGTTCCCACTCCCCCTCCTTCTTCTTCGCCCAAGACGGAAGGATCACTGGCTCGCCGACCGTCGCCGCGCACGGCCGGCTTCTCGTCGCTCTCCTCTTCAACATCATCGTGTGGCCCGGCGCTGGGCTTTTTTCTCTGAACCGAGCCTCTCTTCTGGTTGTTGATGTTCACCATCCCGGTCTCCGCGTGAGTGGCGCAGAACTCCCGCTTGTTGGTCCCAGCGACCCCGTAGTTCGCGCGCTTGCCGCAGTCTCCCTTCGCACACCGCCTTCCCCCGATGGATACCATGCCTCGCTCAGCGTGCACGGCACAGAACTTTCTCTTCTTCCCCATGACCCCGTAGGACGCCGACGTAAAGCAGCCATTAACCGGACACAGCTTTTTGTCCAACTTGACCATGCCGTCCTCCGCGTGCTTGCTGCAGAACCTCCGCTTCCGGTTCCCCTCGTGCCAGTACGTCGGCGGCATCAGACAGTCGTCTGCCGAGCACTTCTTGCGCTCCAAGTTGAGCATGCCTTTGGGAGCGTGCTTGCTGCAGAACTGACGCCGACCGCTCCCCGGTTCGCCGAAGGTGGCGCGAGTCTCGCACTTGTCCTTGGCGCACCTTTACAGACAACACATCGGTTTCGGTGGGGGGCGTTGAGGGCGACGCCCCTATGATAAAAATCGATTACAATGTTATCGTGGTAGACACGCGTGCCCATCCACGTTCTACTATTTTATTCCGCGAAGGATGGGTATCGGCCCCCGTCCCTTTTCCCCGATGCCCGCCATTCTTCTTGCAGTGCCCTAGGCCCCATCCAGCTTTCCCCAGCTCCCAATGCATAGGGAATGTGGTCGTCAGGGTTTGGGTTGGGCGGGAGCCTAGGTAGGAAATTATTGTAGAACCGCTACCAACAACAAAGATTCGGACTTCCTGGGCTTCCAAGGCTGTCATTCTGTATGGCGCCGGGGGGGGGTGAGCTTTATTGTTGACGCGAGCATCCCTCCAGCCCATATGTTACGTCATTACCTCATGGTATTTTCCCGCCCTCTCTCGACGATGCACGTGGTCAAAAATCGAAGGCTGACCAAACATGAAGACTTACACCAAAAGAAGGCGTCATTTGGCTCTTTACAAACACGGGCAGAGCTTTAAAAACTCGCGCAGAGAGCCCACCTCGTGAGATCAATATTAACCATCCATGGCCGAGCATGCTGGCTGCAGCACTCTCTCTTTCGGCTTGCTTCGACGCCGTACGTCGGTCTCTTGGAGCAGCCCGGATGCAGGCACTTCCCAGAAGACTGCATCCCACCCCCGTTGGATCGGTGGAGGTCGAGGTCTTTTGTAACGCCGTCGTAGTCGCTACCCTCCCACTCCGCTAAGCTTATCCTTGCAGTACTGTGATCCTTCGGAAAGAGTTGGCCGACAAGACACCACACGGTTCGGACACGCGGCAAGAAACAACTTTTTTACGTTGGAAAATGGGCGAAAACAAAAGATGGACGGCGTACCCGGCAAACAAACTGTTCCCAATGACGGCGGGTATTTGACTAGCCCACGCGGTGTCATCATCGTCAATTTGCCGAAGCATACCGGGAAAGTGCACATTGAAACACCGTGCACACCACGAGTGAGTATCCATGGACTTCCGACTCCCGCATGGAAGACACTCATTTAAGTTCTTCCTGTACGACGGAATTCCATCACCACTACGTACGACGAAATTTGGATGGGAATGCACATTCAGGGAGTACATTCTTGGAAACCGTTGGAAGTGAAAGCAGCTTCCAGTTATCTTCTCCACGAGCTCCCATGAGCTTTCACTGAGGCATCCATGTCCTCCGTGGAGCCGTTTCCGCGACTGTAATGGTGGCTTCCACGGCACTTGTGGAAGCTTCGGCTTTCTACCGTGGAAAATGCTGCTCGAGCAGCAACACCCTCCTACAGGAAGCAGACCTCTACATGCATGCGTACTCTGAGCTCCGCGCTTTCGCGCATAACTCTTGAATCAAGACAACCGCCCAGGCTCGACTGCTGCTTAGCTTACGTCGCCGGACGACTTGCTGTGAAGCGCGTAGCCAACACTGCACCCCATGGCTCGATGCCTCCACCAGTGAAAAACAGGAACCGTACAGTACAGTGTTCGGCAATTGTACACAGGTGGAGGTCGACCCCCCTTCCCCAAAATGTGGAGATGCCCGCGCTTCCTTGTGGAGACCTTTTTTCGAGGTCTTGGTTATGTTCCCCAAGGTGTCTGACCTTGACAAGGTCTCCACAAGGGGGCGCGGTCATCGGGCATTTTGGGGAAGGGGGGTCGACCTCCACCTGCATATAGACTATACATTGCACGCTCAGTGACTCATCGTGGCTGTTCGCAGTTAGGGGCACCAGGTATCTCTGCTGTATACGTACAGCAGTGGGCAAACTTTCAGCGGCTACTCCGGCCAACTGCGCGGATCCAGCAATAGGAAAACAGGAGGAGGAAAAATCTGTCGACCGACACTACTGTACATGCTACTGTACTATACCATTATCGGCTGACGCCCAGAATGGATGGAACGAAAACAAACTCGGACGTTCCCTATGCATACAGTACATCCACTCCACGACCGGCTTGCGGGACTCTACATGTTAGTATTTTCCTCGTCGACCGACAGCCAACCCCTCCAGCGCATCGAAAGCGAGAACCACTTGAGAGTTGATGGAATTATGCGGGGTGTTGACGAATCAGGACGAGCTGCAGACCGTATATGTTTACGTCGGCTCGTTCGGAAAAAAAAACTCTCGCGGCGAATTGTTGACACACAAACGAATTGTTGACACACACAGCACATGTGATGGCAAAGAGCTGGCGGCAAGCGAGCCCTTTACTGAAATCTCGGTACAAGCCGCCGCCACCGCTAAACATCTGCTCGCCCTCATGCCGTGTTCATCGAGGGGTGGAGTCAGAGAGCCGGTGCGGGACAGGTGTCGTGTGCACTACTTTTAGTCCTCGAACGGCTCGATTGTTGATTATTGCATTGAATTCTGTGTGCGGCACATACTGCTGTAGACTAGCTGTAGCAACCGTCAACAAGGAAATGGCGGGCTTGTCTCTCGCCCTTTACGCTACGGCTGGCGGGGGTAGAGAGATCGTTTCTACACAAGGCGCAGTAAACGCGAGCGTACGAGTTGACTAAGCTAACGAGAAGATAACGCCAGCCAGACAAGGGGGGACACTCACGAAAGACAATTCAACGCCGCCGTCGCCAGCAGTCTCGGCGCCGAAGAGGGCAAGTTACGCTGGGAAGTCTCCAAGTCTCGCCGCTTTCTTCGGGCCGCCTCGCCTCGCTGTTTGTATCTTGGTGCCTTGAGGGGATTTTGTGCGGGAGGCTGAAGCGTGGTAGGCTTACTGCTGCTGCTCCAGAAGTATGTCTGTAATGCGATAAACCTGCACGCGAGACGTCGCGCGCGTCGACAGACAGACACTGACAGGGTGACACAACCTCTCAAAAAAAACTGGACCGCTCGTCTCACAAAGATCCAAGTGACGGTTTCACTGGTGTACACGCGCGACGCGTATATCTTCGGGCCTACATACCATATCTTTCCTCGTAGTCTAGCCACAAGACACATGTGTGCAAGGTACACTGGCTGCAGCGGTGAACAACCACAGATTGATGTGTCTTGACTACTACTGGAAGACAAGCACCACTGCGCATACATACATTGTCTTCAGTCTCCTATTGTAAGGCGGTGTAAGGCGGTGGTCTTGTAGTGAGGGAGATGTGGTTGCCTCTGATCAGCACGTACAAACAACGCGAAAAAAAAAGCAACAGATGGACTAAAAAAGACTAGACTTTCACTCAGGGCGATTGATCGATGGACGTCAACCAGAGCACTGGGGATGGCAGAGGACGTGAATGTAAACAGTTGTCGTTCTGTGCCTCCGGTCGAGCTCAGGACGGAATGCGCGGCGGTCCACTACTACTGGGCGGGGTCAGGGTTCTCCCGTCTCTCGGCTAACAAATAACAACCAAGAAGTTATGTCCTTGAAGACGCCCTCCCTATTGTGATCATTAATGTCGTGCGCGAATAGACACGTATGTGCTTCTTCTGTCGCGGGAAGTCGTCGCAGAGCGGTGTGTGCGCCAACAATTAATTAGTCAGTATTTTTATGAAGTACAAGTTACGCAGGGCGGCGGGGCGACTATCGTATTTGGGGGGCGAGACAATCATTGCGTGCCCGGCAGGGTCGTGAGAACGGCAGAGATTTAGACTATTGTACATGGGTTGTGATTTGTAGTTAGTCTACAACTTACAGAGTAGGCAATGTACTAGAGACCACCGTCGCTGGTCCACAACCTTGTTGTTGATCTCTCAGCTGAAAGAATGCAGTGCTCCAACAACGTGTAGTCAAAATATGTACCATCGAACAAACAACACGCGTTCTTGCCGACCTTAGCTGCTTTTGGGGCGAATCATCTGGTTGACAGGGTTCAAGGAGGACGACGAACACTGTTGTTGGAGTATTTGTGTACAAGAACGACTGGTTCTACTGCATGGGTTCTGTGCAGTATTGTGAAGGCGTATTTCCAAGTCTGTAACCGTCAGGTGAAGACAGCTTGGGCGTCTGAGTGTGGATAATAAATCACTCTGTGTTTACCCTACCTACACCTACCTCGCAAACAACGCCAGCAGCTCGAGAGAACAGCGTCCCTCGGTGCACAGCGTAAGCCACTTCGCCCAACAAACACAAAACTACAGTAACTTCTTTGGGACGTCTGGGATGGATGCCGCGCCGCGATTCGTCAAGCGAAAGACAGTTGCGAAACGCACGATCTGTCTATAATAAACACAACTACATAATATACGTAATACAGTAGTCTGGACTACAGCCAACCTTGCCATGTTTCACGCGTCATATCTTATCTCTTTGTCCGTTCGGGAACTGTTTTGTGCGCGAAAGGAAGGATGTGACCCGATAAACGTGAATATTATTTCATTCAGTTAACCTCGCAGTCAGTATCAATATCTACTTTCGTACCAAGTAAGCCAGTCTACAGAAGTGGAACAGCAACAGGTTTACATGACGGCCTCAACGCTCTACGATTCAAGTGAGAAATAGTCTATACTATCTTCCTCCCTGCTGGCCAATCGGGCGGCAGCATTTACGGTACTTTCCTTCGGGCGCTACTACCAAGAACCCATCAAAGTACACATATGACAGCCCCCCTCTACAAGCTTACGACAACGTTCTCTGAAATATGAGGATCAACACTTTGCCACGTCATTCGATCCTGAAAGATGCCATATGTCCGGGCCCACACTCTCTGGCCCCACCAAAGACACGCTATGTACTACCAATCAATGGTTAATGGCCATTTCGATTGTTGTAGTGACGCAAACACCTTTCGAATTGGAATCGACACACAAATTGTACGAGGCGCCCCGCCACTGAACAACCAACACGGCCGGGCAACCTCGAAGCTATTTTCCTACCTTATTACCCCGAGGGAAGCCAAGGTGAGACCATGCTTGCTCCTGTCCGCAACCCGATAGGACTATTCATCGTGCCTCCTTCTTTACCATACACCATTGGCTACGGACGGAGTAGCCTCGCTCCCAACGTTGATCACGATCCCCGTCAAGCGTCGATGACCAGGCTATATGAGCACCTCTCGCTTTGTTTTTCTTGCCTTCACTACCGTCCCAACCTCTCGTCGCGCCGCTGGAGGGAACAGGTTGCGTCGGTCCTAAGTAGTTGTGGCTGACTACCGTTGGAAACCCGTCCCGCGTTCCGTGCCGTGGAACGAGCGGAGGCGGACAGCGTACACCCGTCTCCGTCGTTGTCGTCGACTACAGTACACCGGTGGACAATCGGACCGCGTTCCGTACCGCAGAACGAACGCCTTGATGCCATCATACCCACACCTTCGCTGTGCGGTGTTCGGGAGCCCCGTGATCGTTGAAGTCGTCCGACCGCGTGGCCGCCCGGTCCTCTGTGTGCGATAACTTTTGGGATTGCTTGTAGGTATCTAAGCCCACTACCACCGTAGCCGTAATGGGCGGTCTTCGTCATTCTGAATCAATCTCGCCTCGTCGCACAAGAAAATAGGGGGGAGCAGAGATCGCTCCAAACTAACCCCCACCACCCCCGAAACAAGGTACACGGCTGGCTGAAAATGAACTCTGCTGTCACCGAAGCCAGCGAGGGGTATACCCTGTCTTTGTGCTAAGTGCTTCGCGCCGTTTCAGCGCACCGCTGGTACCAAGCACGCTGCCAGAAAGGAATCGTAATCAATACAGCCCGTTCCTCTCCCATTCCTTAACCCTCGCTGACCCTCCACCGATTCCCGGGCAGCCGGGGCGGCCCCTGGGCCCGCTGGAGGGGGTGCTCCACGCGATGCGCCTTTCAAAGCCCACCCCTTGTGTGCCACGGCTGGTAGATGCTCGAGCGCCATCAGGTCGAGGTTGCTGAGCTCCAATCCGTGCCTTTTTGCATAGGGGGGGGGGAGTCTGGTTGGCTAATGTGTTGTTCGCTAGGACATTGCCCACCTACGCGTTGGGGAGAAGCTGTTGTGGTTGGTGTTGGGTGCTGGCATGGTTGGGCAAGACGCCGCGCAGCAGCAAACAAATATGCAGTATGTAGCAGGTTCCAGCGGTGGGTCGACGGGCTGCGGTGACGGATCGCCCGCCGCCCGCCGCCCGCCTTTCTTGTTTTGGTTGGAGAACTGCCAACCACCGAAGTACCGCCCCACCAGCGAAACTACACACCGACAACCCGTCACAAGATGGCTTCTCTCTGCCGTCAACGTGGAGGAGGAGGAAAACGCGGACAAATGTGCTAGCCGTCCACGGCACCTCGTATACACAACTACATACGTTCCGTCCTTTCAACCTCGGCAACACTATCCCGGGGGAACGGCTGCAGTTCACGGCCGCCCTTATGGACCTCTAGTTTGGACCGATGCTGGGGTTGTTACTGTAATCCTAGGATAATGCTTCGAATGGCTACTACATAGGTTTGTGTAGGGGTTCTCAACCGAGCTTACAAATGGTGCTCAAGTTCTCAGATGTTGAGTGTTGTCGAGGATCAATTTCTGGACTGACGGCGCTAGGTGTACGCTCGGATTTTGTTTTACACTATCATGACCTCGGCTTTCCGACAAACAACGAGGCTACAATTGAACCGCCTCAACCTACAAACCCAGGTTTATTCTATCTGCGAGGCTACAATTCAACCGCCTTAATCAACAAACCCAGGTATATTCTCTTTGCTCAACCAAGAAAAAAGTGCGGGCGCTGACCGCTGTAGCTGTACCCCCACCTTGCAAGGACCGCCCGAAACACGTGCGCCTCCACGTCTCCCATGCAGACGCCGCGGTAGGAGCCGTCCCGCGGCAGCCGGTATCTGCTGCTGGCGCCCCCCGCGCCGCCGCCGCCGCAAGCGCCCTGGGCGTGTCTCCTGCTTCCGGTAGCCTTCTTGGCGGTGGAGGACTCGTCCGCGGCCTTGAAGTCCTTCCACAGGGGTTTCCACACTGAGACGATGTGTGGCTATAAAGCAGGCGCGCGCGGGACAGGGGGGGGGGATAGCTCATGTTTTACATGCCGTTAAACCATTGACCACGTCTTCGAGAGGAGGGGGGGGGCTGAGAGGTAGGGCCAGCGTTTGTTGTCCTCCGCGCTGACATGTTCTGACCACTGAAAGCAGCGGCTAGAGTGCACCTCCGGGGGGGAGGGGGAGGGGGGGGTCCTCATGTAAGCGCATGCCGTAGTCGTCGCTAGACCATTGATCCTAGAATGCCGGGATGGAACGAAAGAATGCCAGGTTTTCGCCGGCCCGGGCTACATTTCACAAGGATGGAACAGAAGCTGGTTGGAGATCATCCTAGCGCTCGCTGTGCCAAACTTCAACTTGATCTGCCATTGGGTGATTGGGCATCCAGGGGGGGCTGTGAGAAGAACAGAGCACACACTTGTTGTCCTCAACTCTGACGCGTGCTAACCATCGACGCCGCTGCACCAGCTAGAGTGCGCGGAAGGGGAGGTATCAAGATTATTTTCACATCGACATTTGTTTTGCGCAGGTGCCGCAAGGCATGAGGGAATGTACCGAGCTGTGCGATGCACTAAAAAAAGTTGAACTCAAGGGAAATAAAGGGAACACCAATACTCTCGAGTGTTTCCTATCAACGCTGAGAAATCTGGGGCTTATGTTTCGTGCGGCGTGCGTCAAGATGCGAATCGACTGTCCTTGTGCCGACTGGCTGAGGCAAAATACGAGACGGTCCGACGGCTCAGTGTCTTCCTTGCCATATAGAGCGGGCCCGCAGTTAAAGACAGTGCCGAACGAACAAAGGCTCAAGGGTTCACACAACAAGCGAATAGGGATAAGAAACCCAGCTCAGCGGAGAACCTTACGCAAACTGCGAATAACAACTTGCTCAAAGGTGGTAACGAGACAAGAGATAAAACGCCCGACCCGAAGGTGATACACACGTATTTCATCTCTTGCATAACTGCTGTGTACCCTTTCGGGGAAGACAGTGCCGCAATCCTCTGGGTTAAAGAAAACGAATGCAGGCGCGGCAGGGAGGGATCCTCAGGGAGAGGAGAACCCTTCAGCGTGACCACCACGGATTCGAGCTCGTAGCCGGCAGACATGCTGTGAGCGCCGACGAAAAGTGATGAGAAAAATGAAGAATATCACCGAACTCGCCACCGCTTAAAACACTTGGCAGTCAAGAACTTGACCCTCGAGAAATCTAAATTCCTAAGAACGTGGCCGTAAGAATAGGTGTTCAGTCCTACACTAAAACCTATATTGTACACTAAAACCTATAGTGCAAACTAAAGCCTATATTTTACCTAAAACCTATTCTGTATTGTATAATTAAACCTGGATTGTCGCCCTGGGGATACCTACCCCATAGAATAAATATTATGAACCGAGCCTCGGCCAAAAAAAGGGAAGAGGTTCTCAAGTGGTGGCTGGCGCGTTCTGCACGCGTACCTGGAGCTCCCGACAGATGGCGATCGCGCGATCGCGAAGCTCATTGCCGCCGCCGCTACCGCCGCCTCCGCTTCCGTGGCGGGCAGCCTGCCTGTCCAGCGGGCGTAGCTGATGCAAGCGGTCTCGGCGGGGCGAAGGAGAAGAAATCGCACCCGGCGCCGGCAACGCTCCTGTTGACATGCTGACTTTCAGGCCGGGTCTCGTTGCCTTCGCCGACCTGAATTGAGGGGTGAATTTTGAGGGGGCAGAGGGGGATGGTTAGGTTTGAGCCACAATGGTGGGTAGCACTAAGATGTCGCTGCCGAACAATGGTGGCCCAGCCACGCACAGAACCAACGAGTCTCCTGTTCTCTCGCTACAGCAGTTCCTCAAGCCGTACCTAACGGCGGGGGGGCTACGTACCGTAGGTTGCATGAAATATCACACCCCCTGGACCGAATTTCGAAGCTCGATATCTCGGCAGGAAATGGTGCGACGGTAGCGAAAATGGCGGCGTTGGAACTGTCTCGTGGAGAGCTTTCCGAAGACGTATGCTTCAATTTCGACATCCTCTTAGTCGTGGAGTAATCGAGCTTTGAAAATCGGTCCAGGGGGTGTGATACCTTATGCAACCTACGGTATACCAATTTCGCTCGCAGGTGTGCCTCAAAGCTGCTGTTTGGGACGACAGCTACAGGCTGGTTGGCTCGTGTGCATAAAGTGGGGCAGGCCCGCAGTCTAGACCACCCCCAGACCTCGGAAATGATCCAATGCCGTCCTTGTCTCCTTCGAAGCGCCATGTTTTCATCGTTGTTTCGATCACCCATCCATCAACCAATGTTGGAACATGAAGCGGTAGGAATCGAGGTTGTCAGTTCCGCGTCACTCTTGTTCCCTTACTGGGCTTCGTATCCATAGACAATAGAAAAAAACACAGAAATATCACAAATCCCATTTACACTTAAACTGTTTTTTTCCCACACGTGCTTGCTCCTCCTCCTCCTACTCTTCGGAGAGACATCGCGTGGTCGGAATCGGTTCTTTTCCTGCGAAAGCGGATAGCCCCGACTGGCCTCAGGCGCTGAGAGATTGGGTGTGACGTCACACCCGACAACCCCCCCCTGATGCTCGAACAGACCACAAGGAAGTGTACAGTTAGGCCCCCTCTGTGGGGTAATATAGTATATTGTGCTGGTGAACTTGGCTCGCACAGGCACAAATGGAATAACCAAGATGGTTGATACTCTCAAATCATCCGGGTGCCTGCTACACAGCGCGGGTGAAAGGGCTTGGCACATAATACATACCCGCACATCAGAGGGCGCCCGACCGTGTACAGCCTTTACTCACGTTGCTGACCGATGTCTGGGCGAGCTGCCGCGCCCCCCCCCGTCTTCATCATTATCTCGTCCAACTCCTCCCGCCGGTCGATCCCCTGCCGGTCCGTTGCCTAGCAGGAGGTGCCTCATGAACCGTGGGTAGTCCACGCGACCCCTGACAACGAAATGGTCAATCGTCCGGAAACGGTTGTACGTACTCATGTAAACCCATGCCGTAGTCGTTAGGCCATTGACCTCGCATCCCTGAAAATGCCGGGACGGAGCGATATGTATTCCACGTTTTCGCCGGCCTAGGATACGTCCCACAAGGATGAACCAGAAGCTGGTCGTCATCCTTGCGTGTGCTGTGCGAAACCAGATATGCCATGGGTGATTGGGCACCCGGCTAACCGATTGATGGGGGGGGGCGAGGGGGCATTAAGGGATAATACGTGCGACCGGTGCAGCCGTTCCCGTTGCGAGCTCTTCTCATCATCGCTCCGGGGCGTTGAACGTAGAGGCCGGGAAACCAGCGCTTCTAGGTACCGCTGACGGCATCGTTTCGCCAACAAAGCTTTCGAACCAGTTGGAAAATAGTGTGGGATCCTGTCCCGATTCGGTATCGCAGATCGAAATGTTTCGCCAATAGAGCTTTCCGAACAAGTCAGCGCGCCATCCTGCCACAACTAGGTACCGCTGATTGACACGTTTCGCTAAATAGAGCTCTTGAACAAGTCAGAGAACAGCGTGTGGTCTTGCTCCCAACTGGACACCGCTGATTAAACGTTTCGCCAACAGAGCTTTAAATGAATTCAGATAACAGCGTGGGACCTTGCCGCAGCCGGCGCTGGTGTTGGCTTCAGATGGCCTGCAGCCGACCCAAAATAAACTTTGGTGGCCGGATTGAGCAAGAATAACAAGATCGAATGCGAAACGCCTGCTACCTTGCGATCGCGTGCTTAGCGGCGAGGGCGGCGAGGTCTCCCTTCTGGAGAGACTGCATCGCTTTGTTAGCGGTCAGCACCTTGGTGAGATAGTCAAGTGTGGGGGAACATGAGGAGACGCGAAAAGAGAGCAGGCGGAGAGATAGGGTACGGAACGAAGTGGGCAAGAGGGTATGAGCGGGGAAGTTCATCAGCGGTAGTCGGCTACGTATTCGAACGAGAGCTTGAACGAACCCCCAAGGATCAGCAGCACGTGAACGGGATAGAACTGCTGGCATGGCCACTACATGAGCAGAAATAGCAACAACAATAACCACGAATACCGAACATAACGCACCGCAAAATGGTTCAAAGAAGAAACTGACACCCAACACCTGGCATTTTCCGACTTTCGACACTCCTGCATCGAAGCAAGGTTGCCGACAACGCCGCCGATCACTTTTCCCGCGTGTTGTCTGAACAGCTGAACCTAGCCTTAATCGACACCTTTCGAACGTATCAACCGAATAATTTAGTGCACAAGACCATTCGCTGAGTACAACACCAGGACGCTTTTGACACGACTCCACGGCAGCACGTTTAAAGCAGAAAAGTCAAAATAAGAACGGCAAACGTGATGATTAGATATTCCGAATCGAGACTTACCTGTCGGAACTCATCCGACGTCACCGCACCGGTTCGGAGCGGATCCAGGCGGCGGAATGCGGATAGCATGTGTCGCCATCGGCTGCGCACACAGGCCTTCATCTGCACAACAGCAGCATCAGCAGTTGTCGTGCTTTAAAAAGGATATGTTGTTGGTTGGGAAAGCGGCCACGCTACCGAGAGAGCACAAACATGTTCATCTGCACAGCAACAGTCGTTTCTCAAGGGTCGTATGTAGTCGCTACGGTTTTAAGAGAGGGTCGGGACCAGCCAACAACACTCTCTTAAATCCGCTTTTCTCTCGAACCATTCCGTGAAATGTGGAATAGGTATTTCTCGTGGTCGGGACAACCCAACCACACTCTCTAAAAATCCGGTTTTCCCTACGACAACCCACCTTAAAAACACGAACAGTAGCCCCTACTATAGTGGGAAAGCAACCACGCGAGCGAGAAAGCAATCGGGGAAAAACACATTCTTCAAACGTTTCAGTCATAGCTATGTTGAAACCCGTAAGTCTTTGCGATCATATCACCCCCTTCCCTCACGGCGCGCGCGGGGGGGGGTAATTCCCTGTCGAACCCACTCGACACGAGACGCGAGACCGTTAAAAAGACATGGTCTCGCCACCAAGCACATACCGCAGGTGGCCTTAAGGTACCAACTGCCCCCCCCAGGATCAATTTTCAAAGCTCGATTGCTTCACATGATGGTGCCGAAATGGCGGTTTGGGATACCGTATCATCGAGAGCTTTTCCGAAACTTCTTGTCTGAATTCGTCGTGAAGCAATCGTACTTTGAAAATCGTCCGAGGGGTGTGGTATCTTGCGTCACCTACGGGTATTCTCGTCATGGTATGTTGGGCTATGCTTACTCTTGGAATCCTGGCCCCCCTTCCGGGGGAGATATTTAAACTTCGGGGGGGGAATATTTAAACCTTTCTGGCTATCATTGACGTCTTTTCATTGGTCAGTCGGTTAGCGCGGCCGGTGCAAACCAACACATACACACAGCGGTGAGACTCTTGAAAATCCCGACAACTGACTGTGTCCCGTTTCCGTCTGTGTCTTACGGGTTAAAAATCAAAACCAACTAAGGATTGGATATGCGTCGTCGTTCGCGCGTACGACAAAAAGGTTTGCGTCACGTTAATTATTTCTGACGGTTCTCTCTCGCCTTTTCCTCGGCCTTGGCGCCGTTGGTCACGGGCGACGATCCCAGAACCGGTTGCTCGCACACCGGGCGGCTCCGGCCCTGGCGCTTGCTGGCGACGTGGGGTCCAGCCCCGCAACCTTCTCCCGCGCTTCTGCCGCCTCCGCCGCCTTCCTTCCCTGGAAGGTTACCGAAGTTGTTGCCGCCGCCGCCGCCGCCGTCGCCACCGTTACGTTCTCTCTTGTCGGTGTTGTCGTTGCTGGTGCCGTCTGCAGTGGCGGCGTTTTCGTCTGAAATCCATCCCGGGGTAAGGGGTCGCACGCCTCCTCGGGGTCTATCGCATGCGGCGTCGGGGCAGGGGGGGGTACCAAGGCCGACCGGCGTCTCGAGGGGCTCCTGCCGGGAAAAGAAGAAAAAAAATATGTTGATGCCGGAGGAAATAGGGCGAACCCAAGCTTTTATTGGCTTCGGAGGAAACAGGAGGGGGGAGGAGGGAGGTCGCGTACTCCTGTTTTTCGTGCCTCAGTTGTTAGACCCTTGTCCACGCGTCGTCGAGAGGGCCGGGCGAGGAGGCGAGATCGTTTAGGAAAGTAGGAACGGTCGAAAGCCACTCGGTCATGTACAGCCTTCGCCTTTGGGAGAAAATTGGCATCCAGTCACAGAAAGGCTACCCGTTTGAGATACAGTGGAGTCCCTGTTTTGTGCCGGTTGAATAGGTGCCAACCCCGGAATAGTACCGGTGTTTTCGGCAGGCACGCACGGAATTTCCGAGACATTGCCAGTAGTTTGAACAGCGCCGGTTCGGTATAGCGCCGGCGAATTTCCTGGGCACAATTCCGGCAATAAACAGGAACCCCCACTGTAGAACCAAAGCAGTCGAACGGGGTGAGTTGAAAGTCTTTGCAGTGGGCGCAGTCAGGCACTGAAAAAAAAACAAATTGGAGGTCGGGATTGAGAGCTACACTAGGCTTTAGGGCACACACGACAAGGATCTTTGACCGGCGGGGCCGCGGGTACCCGGGGGGGGGGGACTGAGTGATACCCCAAAGGCTGCTACGTGCGAACACATCGTGATTGGGCAGCGATACTCCAAAAGCTGATACGTACGAACCTAACATGATTGGGAGGTGATACTCCCGAAATCCTTGCGTTCCAAACCTGTGTGATTGGGCAGTCACAATCCGACGGCTGTTATGTACGAACCTATCCTGATTGGGCAGTGCTACTCGAAAGTCTGTTTCGCGCGAACCCATGTTGGCTGAGCAGTGATGCCCCAAAGGCTGCTCTGTATGAACTTATCCTGATTGGGCAGTGATGCGTCAGTGATAATGTGAAGGCTGCTACGTGCGAACGTCCGTGATTGGGGAAAGCCCATGGGTGGGGCATATTCTGTTGGAGTGCAGAGGGAGAGAGGGTTAGGATCGTTGTCGGATCGTTGTCGGATGAACCCGACAAAAACTAAGCACGCGCACGGTCGAGCACAATTGCGGTACAGCCCGTTTCCCCTCAACGACATAGGTGACGCGAGCACAAGCAAGGATAGATAGAGAGGTGTCAAGAACCTGCTGTTCCACGAGGGTAAAGGACTGCTTTGCTGTTACATGTGCAGTACACCATGTCCACTACAATGCACAAGTCACCTCTGACGTTCCGTTTGATGCACACCATATCCAATTCACGAAGCTCAGCACATCCACTGTACAGCATATCCACTACCAGGTACAATGCTACAAGTCAGCGCTGACGTCTAATGTTTGATGCACACACCATATCCACTCGTTAACAAGTCAGTCGGACTAACCTGTAGTGGCGTGGAAATGCTGTGCATCTAACACTTTCATCGCAAGCGAAGCAGGTGCGGTATCGGTGAGCCGATCGCCACAACGCACCTGGGGAGCGAGGTCTTCGGCGTACATGATGAGCTTGAGGAACTCGTGGAAGTCGATGTCCCCACTGCCATCCTTATCATAGCGCCGGAACAGCTTTTCTACCTGTGGCGGGGGTTCCGCGAGCAACGGGGGGCGGGGAGGGGGGGGCGTATACTCGTGTACACGCATACCGCAGTCGCTAGACAATCGACCTCGCATCCCTACAAAGCCGGGGACGGACCACGCCGGGTTTTCACCGGATCAGGCTATCACATCCCCGAGCGCGAAGCGCCGTGAGGCATTCGGCCAGTCGCGTGGAGGGTGCGCTGCATCCTGCGACAGGCGTTCCGGCACCTTTTGCTTACTTCCTTGAAAACGGATGACAGCTGCGAATGAGGGTCGGCTGGGACCTCGATCGGCCTGCTCTTGCCAGAAGGCTGATGACCGACGACAGCTGACATTCGGCAAAAGGCTTGCTCAGATGGATGGACGTACGTTGTCGTTGAAAATGAACTACCGCTTCTCTGATCGGGTGTGCCGCCTTTGCCAGGCTTGACGGACTGAACCTGTCCTCCACCCTCGAGCCCGTGTTTGAGAAACGGGGTGGTCGTACTTCTTCATGGTAACTCCCAGACAAGAGAACTTGGCCGTGCTGAGCGCCAAGGAAAGACCAAAAAGAAAAACTGTCTGTTTGGAGTGCTCGGCAGAGTATACTGTCTACTGGGCCTCCATACGCGGATGGTGGACATGCTACATGGCGATGGTGTTGCCTACCGCGTGTCTCTCACTCTCTAAGCAACCAAGGTCTTGAGTCAACCTTGTTTCTCTTTCGGCCTCTGACGAGCTACCGCACCCAAACACAATTGTCCTTCCTCCCCCTTCAGGCGGATGACTCACAAGAAAAGGAAAAACAATCTGTACGATTTCCCGGCACAGTGAAATGGCTTAGAACTGACTCGAAAAGAGTCCAGTCTCTACTCTAGCAGGTGTCCCTCAAAAGCTCATCGAAAAGACTTCAATGAGTTCCTTCGGCCGGGGAACTGTACTTTAAAGAACGGGTGGCCTTTTTCTGTGGTGTACCAGCATTGTGTCTTGCGTCGATGTTATCTATCGGGCACCTGTGCGTCAGTTACTCCCATCCCGTAGCGATGGACGGCCTCTTTGAAATCGCCCAGCTCCACCCCGCCTTTGAACGGAAGAGGGAGAAAAGCACAGGGCGACGCGATTGGGCAGGGGAGGGGGAGGGGAGGTACACGGACAGGATGCGGAGGAAGATTGATGACTGCGAGGATCATGGCGGGAAGTGTTTCGTTTTCCATCACATTTTATGACAAACTTCTTCGTAGGAGATATATATATATATATATTCATTCTATTGATTCCCTCAATATCCTCACAGCCCAGGTACCGTCGAGGTCGGCCTCGTTTTGCGGCAAGCGGGGCCAGAACATTAAGAGAGTGCTAATCTCTATTGAGACGTGGCCGGTACTGTCACAAATCCATACTCTCTCCTGAACAATCTCTCTTGAGACGCTGCCTTTTTCTCTCTTACATCCATACTTTCTCTTTGCTGTATTGGGGAATTTGGATTGTGACCACGTAACGCGTTCGTGTCAGTTGGACCAGTACGGAGAATGGAAGGTGCTGAGCGGAGACGGGAACGGTTTTTAATGTGAAGATAACAACAACAACAACAACAACAACAACAACAACAACAACAACAACAACAACAACAACAACAACAATCTCTCTTTGAGACGTGTACAGTACTTGCCTACATCGCCACTGCGGTGGAGGTTGTGGTACGTGCGGAGGAGCGTCCCGCCCCCTGGTTTGACGGTGGAGATAAGCTTCTCGCGGAGCACCTTGTGCAATGTCTCCGACGTCATCTTGCCGGCCTGAGTGCCGCCGCGCAGGAACAGGTACACGAGAAACGCACGTCAAAAGGAAGTCCACTGCTAAACACTGCTTGTCGAACCCACCCTCCCCTCGAGAGAATGCAGCACCATGAAAGATGAGCAACAGGGTATATAGGCAAACACGGGACTGTCATCAAGCGAGCGGCAACCACCGCATTAACAAGCGAAGACCTTGCTTCTCAGTTTCTTTCACAAAACGTCACTACAGAACGCCAACACCATGTTCTTGTGGGGTTAGGTGGGGTGAACGCACGTGGAAAAAATAACTGTTGAAAACCCGAAATAATTCCTCACCTGTTCGCGGAACGCCCGAGTCACCCGCTCCTGCGCCCTCATGGCGGGGGTCTTCGTCGTATCGTCGTCCCATCCCCCCTCTCCGGCCACCCCAGGAATAAACCCAGGTGAGGATTTGGTGGTTTTGCTGTCGGGAAGGAGAAAGCCATCTGCTGCCCCTGCAGCGTCGGTACCGCCTACCCAAGCGCAGAACTCCTGCGGAAAAGGAGGAGAGAGGATGGAAGGAAGCATCATCGGCAGAACAGCGACAACAAGGGAGAAAAAAGTGGTTTGTAGGCTGGCGCACGGAACAGATGGGACGAAAGAACAACAAGAACAAGCGCAACAAGCAAGAGTAACAAGAACAATTGAACGGGTTCAAGGAGAACGGGAAGGACGAGCTTAAGAAGAACAAGAAGGACCAGCTTAAGAAGAACGGGAAGGACGAGCTTAAGAAGGACAAGAAGGACAAGAAGAACAAGAATAGCAAGAGGAAACGAAGGAACAAGAATAGCAACAAGAACGAGAGGAACGAGAGAAAAAAGCAATAATGCAAGAAAGACACCGCAAAACGGCGAATCAATGTTTTTAAGCCGTTCGCCCGGCGGGTGACCACACGAAGCGAGTACGTACCCGCTGTGGACTGGATTCGTCGAAACCCCAGCAGCCACAAATACGTCCAGTAAAGTAGACAACAGAAAAATGACTGCAAAAATACACATAACGAATATGTACACGGGCTTTGTGCATGCAGCGTATTAAATGATGGACCGCCAGCAACAACAAGTACATAACGAGCTAACAACATAGAGGTTAAATATATAAACAAGTACCTACGTTTTATGCGTATGCATAGAAAAACATAAAACATATAAAAGCACCGCCATTTTTTTTTTTCTCTCTCTCTCTCCCGTGCTGCACCTCGAAGTCGATCCCGCCGCTACCGTCGGCATCGAATCCCTTGAAGAACGCCTCGACCTCCGGCTCGCCGAGCCCCAGGCTGAAGGTCTTCACCGCCTCGCGAAAGTCGTTCAGATCCACCACCTGCATGCATGCATGCACACACGGCCAGGAAGGAACGGGAGATGTTGTGTACTTGAAGTATCTTTTTCGTCACTTTGTATCAACACTCATCATCACAGAGTTTTTTATTTCCATCACTAATATATCGGCCTCACGAAAGTCGTAAAAGATTCACCACCTGTATGTATGCATGCATGCACACACGGCCAGGAAGGAACGGGAGATGTTGTGTACTTGAAGTATCTTTTTCGTCACTTTGTATCAACACTCATCATCACAGAGTTTTTTATTTCCATCACTAATATATCGGCCTCACGAAAGTCGTAAAAGATTCACCACCTGTATGTATGCATGCATGCACACACGGCCAGGAAGGAACGGGAGGGGTTTTTGTGTTCTGTTTCTCACTTTGTATTAATACTCATCATCACAGATTTTTTTTTTGTCATCACTTTTGTATCGGCCTCACGAATGTCGTCCAGACCCACCACGTGCATGCACGCACGCGGCATCAGAAAGGAAGAAGAGATGTTTTAAGTTTTGTCGTCACTTCATATCAACAATCACGTAATATATATATTTTTCATCACTCTATATATCAGCTGCGTCATCACATGATGTCAGATCCGCCACCTGCATGCAAGCGCCTCCAGAATGAATGAAGGGTTTGTTCTTTTATCATCACTTTATAGGTGTCAGCTCACACGGCATTTATTGCTGCCGGGTGTGTGTGTGTGGTGTGTGTGTCAATGTTTTGTAGCATCGACTGACCAATGAAAAGACGTCACTCTCAGTGCGGTTGAAAACACAACACACTTCTAAATGCCATGACCTGGCACCCCGTGAGGGGCGGCATGTGTGTGTCTTTTTATTATTATTTGCTGCGACCGCGCTAACCGTGTGTGTGTTTGTGTTTGTGTGGTCGTCCCATCTATTGTGGTGCCGGTTTATAGGCCTTTCGGCATATATAAATATACCTGACGTACCGGCCGGGGTCACCCAAGAGGAAGGTCACACAGGGCCATTTTTTATCATTTGTTTTTTTTCCCACTTTTCCCCCTCCCTGCGGTGCTTGCCTTGGTTTGAAGACACTCCGAACCCGTGGTCGGTGAAAAAGGTAAGTCATCCACCGCTGCATGCGTGCGCCGTCAGAAGCTCGTTTCTTTTCCCCACTTAATGTATCAGCGCTCAAAGCATTTATTTCTGCCAGGCACTAATTACCCGTGTTCGGTCACAAAGAAACGGTTCACTTCTCTCTGAGGCTCCCCACCCTGCGGCCTCCGCCATCGCTTCTTAGGTGAACTACTTCATTGCGTGCAACAAGTACAGAGGATAGCAGCCTCACCTCCTACAGCCTCTTATTTTGCCCGGGCGCATTCTTCTTGTTTCCTCTGGGGGGGGGGGACCAACGGCTATCATCTAGGATTGGTGCAGGGTTCTCCTGTACTTACCGCGAAAGTCTCAAAGTTCAAAGCAACCGTGTGACTACCGAATCGCAGTAAAAAAAAAACTCAACGACGAAGACCGGGACAGAATGAAGGTACAATAAGACGCTGGCGGCAAACGTAGCATGATTGTGGCACGGAGACCTCCCATCGAAATCCACCAAGTCGGGGCTAGCTGTCTTTCTTGCAACAAACGGACGGAAAAAACAACTGCTTGTGTGTTGTTCTGTGAACTCCCTGAAAGACAAGCCCGGGCCGCTGGCTGCCCATCATCCATGCAGAAGCTGCTTCTTCCCCAAATTTGAGAGAGATAGAGCGGGGTGTAGGTGCCTGGTGGAACCACCAAGTGTAGTTGGTGCCCCTAGCACCGTCCATGCCCCCTCTACCATGCATGGCGTTGTTGCCTAAATATGAATATAAGTTCCAACGTATCGTGCTGGTTCTCGGTTTTCGGTAACTGATCAAACGACATAGTTATGATTCGCGCACCGCACCGTGTCTCCTTCTACCGCTTTGTCATTTGCTCAGCCTCGATTTACGTTCTACGTTGTCGATTATTGGTAGCTCTGGTCGAACCGAAAAGTTAATATTCGTGTACAGCTTGCCCCCTCTGCCGTGCCTCAAACGTTAAGCAATTTCCCAAAGCACAGCATCGTGTCGGTTTGTTTTCAGGAAGTGGGGGGACGGCAGATGCGGCGTACCCCCCCCTCTTTGCATCTGCTCTTCTTCCTCTTCTTCTTCTTCTTCATCTTCTTACCGTTCCCCTCCCGCGGTGCATCTTCCGGAACGCCCGGAGCAGCTGGAACGGCCCGCCGCCGATGCTTCCCAGAATTTTCTGGCGGAGGAGTTGCTCGTTCTCCGCCATGGTGCGCTCGGGGACCCTCTCGGACGCCGCCTTCACCTTAGCCTGTGGTTTATTTTTTAATTTTTAATTTGTATCTCAATTTTGGCACAACGATTCCATCTATATCCCAAAAAAGAGTCCACGATAGATTAACAATGAATTCATAGCGTCAGCGGAGACTACCTGTATTTCTACGGTTTCCCGAGCAGCACACAGCGATATCTCCCATATATTTGTTTTTTTTGGGGGGGGCTCCCCGCGCGATTTTGCGATGCAGTCGGCCGGTGCTTGCTGTTTTCTCTCTCATTACGTGGTTCTGGTGCGCTCATGGGGGTTGTTTTTGCCCCCCTGAGACCATATCTCTTCTACTACTCCAATAAAGCTACCGCTTGTCGAGGGCGTGTAAAGCATGGACGGAGCGTTACTTTGAACCCGCGGGATCAGGTTAACCTGGGCGATCTACGGTACTTCGCACAAGGATATCGATGGAGCAGAAGCAGAAAGCTTCTTGACTTTGTCAGGGTATTCTTCCCCAGAGACCGTTTTTTCCCCTGATTATGTTGGTTGATGGAAGGAGGAGCGATTGAATAAACTACCGCCGTTTTACGGTAGTGTGTGTGCGCGTTCGTCTGATCTATTATGGCGCCGGTTGACAGGCCTTTCGGCGTAATACCTGACGTATCAGCCGAGGTCACGCAAGAGGAAGGTCACACAACAGTTTTTTTTCCGTTTTTTTGGCTGTTTTACTGCTCCATCTTTCTCCCGGTGGTGCTGGTCTTAGTTTTTTTTATCGCGAGAAGGCCTTTAAACTACAGAGATAGCCCCTGATTTTTTTTTAATGCAGTGAGGGGTTCACGAGTAAGGCGGTGATGGGGAAGCTGGTAATGACCGTCTTAAATGGGACACCCGCCTTCATCCATGCGTAGAACAACTTGATTGTTCAGTTAAATCCACCCAGTTTCATAAACCTTACATAGGGCGACCGCCTTTTTTGTGGGGACCCCCACAACTGCACGTTGAACCCGTGGGCCAGCGGCACAAGCCACCGTCTAACCGTACGTGCGAATTAATACCTGCGCGTCTCGCATCTTGCGCTTGCTGACGCTCTTGTCGCTGCCCCCGCTGGAAGGGCGAAAGCCCCCTTCCCTTCCCTTGCTTGTCCCACCCCCGCCCCCGCCACCCCCGCCGCCGTTGTCATCATCTTCCTCATCGCCCCCTCCCGGTTCGTCGGCGCTGTCGTCGGTGGCCTCCATCCACTCGCAGAACTTCACCAGCACCGCGCACGGGCGCACGACGAAACACACGGCGCGGAGAGAGCAGGGAGGTGTTGGTGTGGTTGTTGTTATCTTCACAATAAAAAAAACGTTCCGTTCTCTCTGCCCAGTACCTTCTTCTGTCCGCACTAGTCTATCACTTGACGGGGTCGATTCCCGTAGTCACAGGAGTGTGCTCACGCAAAAAGCGTTCCGCCGTAGTCGTTAGACCATCGACTGGCCTATCACCCCTGCAAAGCCGGGACGGAGCGCGCCCGGTTTTCACCGGACCGCTCGCAGAACTTCATGCAGTCCGGGCCCAGAGAAATGAAACGCCAAAATCGTGTCGAGGGGCGTACTCTATTATATCGTCGCCGCCGTTGTCTAGCACAGGTTGTGAATAGTGTTAGGGTCCACCGCTGAGATGTGTACAGTCGTCCCTTTGGTTAAGGACAACATTTTTTAAGGACACTTCCCCAGTTAAGGACAACTGTGTTTTCCAAAGGCATGGTGCCCCGCAGAATGGCCAACATAAGGGGGGGTGACACCTGTTGAAATGAAAAACACTGTGTGTCCTTAACCGGGGGAATTCTGTATCTTGACCCATTTCTCTCATTCTTCATGAAAAGGCGAACCTTTGTTTCGTGGCGAAACTATTTTTTGAGAGCGGGCTCGTGCTGTTGTGTCAGCACCGCACAAGCACATGTCAGGTCGACAAGCCGGCAAGATGTGTACGCCAAGCCTCAAAAAGTCCCCCCTCTACCGAATGACATGCGAGGGGATGACATGCGAGGTCAATGGTCAAACGACTACGGCATGCACGACTATGCGTACACCCCCCCCCCCCCCCCCCACCCAAAGACACCCGTAGATGTACAATATGCTGTTGTACATCGAAAAAAATTGTGTGTCTTCGCTTGGACGACTGAAATGCATACCATGACTTGTATGCGTGTATTCCAGATCTTTTTTCCTTTTCCGGGAAAAAGGCGTCACAAACGGTCACACCGGGATTGGAACCCCGGTTGTACTGTCGTTAGGTGCACACTGTATCCACTCGTCACAGCGAGTTGCCTTGCTTACCTCTGAGAAGTCGATGCCCCCACTGCCATCGGCGTCGAAGGATCGGAAAAAGTCCAGGATCTCGGGCTCCGTCAGGCCAAGGCTAAGCTTTTTCACCCCTTCTCGGAAGCCCTTGAAATCGATGACCTGCGAAAGCACATCGTGAGAAAAAATAATCCAAGAGCTTTTCGCTACGGATCTTCTGTTTTGTGGCGGGGAAACCAAGCGATCACGTGCGACACGCATAGTGCGACAACCCAGAAGCTTTTCGCTATCTACCCATCTTCTGTTGTGTCGAGGGGGAAACAGGCGCTTGAAAGCCCTTGAAATGAAACCGATTACCCGTGGAAACACATCGTGCAATAATCCAAGAGCTTTTCGCTACCGGCCTTCTTCTTTGTGAAGGTGGAAAACAAGCGCTTGAAAGTCCCCGAAATCAGTGGCCTGGGACACGCATCGTGCACCCAGTAGTCCAAACGCTTTTCGGTTCCGATGTTCAGTTTCAGGTAACTCCACGGTCGAGAAGTGGTTGCGGTGATTGTGGGATCTTGTTTTCGCGGGGGGGGGAAAGCTCTTACCCTGGAAGTTACCAGAACGTGCTGCTCATCTCTGCGCAATATTCTCGGAACAGATTAACATCGGTGGTCAACCTTTGGTACTCCCGCTACAAGTGCGAGCGTTCCCCACACACGAAGAATTACCGTACGTTGCATAAGATATCACACACCCCGGACCGGGTTTTCTAAGCTCGATTACTCCACAACGAAGAGGATGCCGAAATTGAGGTATACGTTTTCGGAAAGCTCTCGACGAGACCGATCCAACGCCGCCATTTTCGGCACCGCCACCGCTATTCCTGCCGAGATGTCGAGTTTCGAAAATCGATCCAGGGGTTGTGATATCTTATGCAGCCTACGGTACCCCGCAACCAGGAGGCGGCAAAAGTCGACCGATACACGTGCGAGGATACACTACACACACATGAAGGAAAGCTATCTCTTCGACGAGATCTTTCAAACGCCACCCTTGCCGCCATCGCTAACCTTTCATTGGTGGAGAAATCGAGCTACTAACGTCGGCCTAGTGGGGGGCAGTGACACCTGCTATTGTACGTACTGCGCTGTGGCGCCTTGTTCGAGGAAGAGAGCTGGCGAGTGGTGCAGTTTCATACGGCGGCCCGCTGTCTTGTTCCTTGGGGTCTTCTTAATGGTACTCTCATTTTCGAAAGTATACGTGTGACTCTCATGTTTACCGTATGCACATAGCGTGAAAATGCAGTGTGACAACTCATGGTTACGGTATGTACATGGCGTGTGCCTTTCCTTTCGTTGTCTTACTGTAGCGCGAACAACCGACCTCTATCCACAGATGGAAGCACTGCCCGTAGGTGACACAAGATACCACACCCCCTGGACCGATTTTCAAGGCTCGATTTACCCACAGCAGAACGAGAGGCGGTGCCGAAAATGGCGGCGTTTGAAACGTCCCAACGAGAGCAGCTTCATTCTGAAAACGTATCGTTTTCCTTGTACATCCTCTTCGTCGAAGAGTAATGGAGCTTGGAAAATCGATCCAGTGGGTGTGATATCTTATGTCGCCTACGGTACTACCTACTACCACACATCTACCTCTATGACATGGTGGACAATTCCTTCTCATCCATCACCTTTCGCGATACAATCGAGGCGAACTGAACCGTCTTCGTGGTTAGAATCCTCGACGTATTCGATATGAACCCCAAAACTGACTTCATCCACGTTGGTTTGTTTCTTTACACTATTCCGAACGGCACACAGCAGTATCGACATCTCTCACCGTGCCCCCGCCGCAGGTCATCTTCCGAAACGCACGGAGGAGCTCGAACGGCCCGCCGCCGATGCTCCCCAGGATCTTCGCCTTGAGGAGGACCTTCGACTGCCCCACGCTCGGCCGCCGAACGCAGTCCTCCTGGATCTATTTTGGGGTGATCGGGTGGTCACGCAGCTTTTCGTTTTTTTCGATCGAACAACTGTGAAGGACGCTTTCAACACACTTAATTGCTACACGATCGTACGGCCGTGAAGAGTTCTCCTGGCGGAAAAATCGGGGTTTGAAAATCGGCCCAGGGCGTGTGGTGCCATACGTGACGCACGGTAGGCGAGTGCGCGATGGTGACGAAATGAACATGGACAAGACGCCAATCCAGCGGGGCGACAACGACGCAGTGTTTATTTAGGGCGGGAGGTGAGGGGGTGGACGCGTGTAAACGCAGGCCGTCGTCGTTCGGGCCGTTGACCTCGCAATATTTCCGAGCAGCCAAAATGGAAAAAACAGATAAGCATATAGGCTATGCTTCCCGGCGAATTATCGACACTGCTACATGTAGATAACAACGATGTAAAAACAGACAACGGGAGAGGGGAAAAGTAGCACCAAAGCTGAGCAGAGCGGACCTGTAGCTAAGCCTGCCGCCACCACTGCTGCGGAGTAAGCGGGCCCAGTAGAAGGCCGAATAAATACGGCCGGTCGCCCGACATAAGGCCGGTGAAACCGCTTCGCACAGATGTTCAAATTGTCTCATACTCTAAATCTATATTGTGCCGGTCACCCGATGTAAGGCCGGTAATCCTGCCGGCACTACTGTGTAGGGGGCCTTGCATCGGGCCCACCTACAATGCTGTACCTGTATCCGACGGTCCACTTCTCGGCGATGTCTGGCCCTCTCGTCCTCTCCCTGGGAGCACCGCAGCTGCAGCCCGTTGTGCGACGCGAGCTCTCTCATGAACTCCTGGTGCTCGTTATCGTTGTCGTCGTCGCCATCCGCCCCCCCCCTCCCTTCCGCGAGGCCCCTTCCCGAAGCCAACCCCTTAGTCGCTGTTTCCAGGGAGGAGCCTCTTCTGCCACCGCTGTTGTTGCTCCCGCGGGAGGAACCGGCGGGCCACGGAGCCCGCTCAGACATCGGGTTGGTCCTGCAAAGGTAGATTTTCATCACGCGCTGTAACTGCTTGTTCGTTGTGTGCGGGCATTGCTGAAAAATCGCTGTGCCTTGAGGGGGGGGCGAGGGGCCGTGACAAGGTCATGAACGGCCGGGTGCAGAGAGCGGCCGCATTGTGGGTCCTCCGAAGGTCCTGCTGCGTTTCTCCTTCTTCTAGAAAAAAAATGAATGGCTCCATCCATCCACGGCAACACAGTACCAGGATAAATTAGCAACGAAATATGCAAGAAGACAACGAGCTAACTCATTCTCTATTCACTAAAAAACACTTGCGGGAAAATTTGGCAATCGAGTAATTCACTGTTTTATCATGATCGTCACGGCGGTATGCCCTAACCCCAACCCTAACCCTAACCCTAACCCTAACCCTAACCCTAACCCACTAGGTCAGGCGCGAGGAGAGGATAAATTTGGAATGAATTAATTCTGAGGATGATCATGATCGTCACGGCGGCCGTATGCCCTAACCCTAGTCTAACCCTAACCTAACCCACCAGGTCACAGGAGAGGATACATTTGGAATGAATGAATTCAGAGTTACACGATGATTGTCACGGCGGTCGTATGCCTTAAACCTAAGCCTAAACCTAACCCACCAGGTCACGGGAGAGGATAAATTTGGAATGAATGAATTCAGAGTTACATCATGATCGTCACGGCGGTATGCCCTAACCCTAACCCTAACCCTAGCCCTAACCTAACCCACCAGGTCGGGCGCCAGGAGAGGATAAATTAGCGATGAATGGATTCAGAGGTTTGTCATGAGCGTCACGGCGGCCGTATGCCCCAACCCTATCCCTCTAACCCCAACATACCAGGTCAGGCGCGAGGAGTCAACGCCCCCGTCGACCGCGACGTTGCCCGAGGAGGTCGGCACGAGGCTGAACCCGTCCCTGGCTGAGGTCATCGAAAGCCTTCTCACGGCCGCAGCAGCACCACCACCCCCGTCGTCTTCGCCAACATCTGCGGGGCCCCTCCTGCCGCTTGCCCGAGAACTACGACCACTGCTGTCTTTCTGCGATGATGGTAGCGCGGAGACACACGCGGACGGAGCGTTTTTATGGGGGGGGGGATCAGCTGCAGCAGCAGCAGCAGCAGCAGCAGCAGCACCGACATCAGCAACAAGGGTGACGGCAGCAAGACTTAGGCAGGACACGTCAGCCGAGCCACCGTCGAACGCAGGAAGAAGGGGATGCGGCGAGAGCAGCGCTATTCCCTCGGGAACGAGGGCGGTATCCCAGACAAAGGAGCAACGGAGCACAAGAAAGAGTCGCTACCGTAGCTATCCAACGACGGCACCGCGTCCCACCGTGGCGGCTCGGTCGTGACGACGACGCACCGTGGCGGCTCGGTCGTGACGACGACGACGAGCGGACTGTGCAGCCGAACGCAGCAGTTGTTGTTGTGGTTGTTGGTTTGGTTGTTGTTGTTTTTGTTGTTTTTGTTGTTGTTGTGGTCGTTGTTGTTGTTGTTGATATTGTTGTAATTGTCGTCGTCATTCTTTTGCTGTGTGGTTGTTTAATATTGGCATCGACCGCGCTACCCGGCTGACCAATGAAAAGACACCAGTCTCCGTGCGGTTGTTGTTGTTGTTGTTGTTGTTGTCGTCGTCTTCACATAAAAAAACCGTTCCGGTCTCCTCTCAGTACCTTCTAATGTCCGTACTATACTATACTATACTGTACTATACTATACTATGCTATGCTATAACAGTGCAACTGACGCGGACGCCTTGCGTGGTCACAACCCAACTATTAATAGGAAGAAAAAAAAAAAATGGGTCCCCGAAAAGTCCTCCAAGACGCGGTATGCTTTTACCCAAACGAAAAAGAAAACTAACAACATCACGTTTTCCAAATGCACAAACATAGCGGGTGAGGGTTTCGGTCTACGTGCCCCCAGCCTGGTCTTCCTACGTGCAGCAGAAAGCTTTCTTTCTTCGTGTAGGCAGTCCGAACGTAGCTTTTTTTCAACGTTGGTTGTTTGGCGGGCGGGATGAACGTGTGTATAGATAGCTAAGGGGTAGAAAAACGAATCGGGGGACTCGAGTGTGAGTGCTGTCATACGGTTGGTGAACAACGCTAGCTCAGCAAAAGGCCGGTAGGGTTTTGCCGCACGTCAGGAAGGAGGTAGAAACTGTGCCACGAGGCAAACCGAGTAACACGTGGTAAACCCCGAGGCGTTAGATCCAACCCGATTGCGGGAAGAGGGCCATATTTTTACACGCTGTGGTCGAGAAGACTCCCAAAAGCGGCCCAACTGACCAGGATGCGAGCACCCGTCAGTAAAAATGTGGTGTACATTTGCCCAGAGAGGAAGAAACCGTCGAACAAATGCACACACCCGTAACTATACAGCATGCCGCCTATATTTACGCCCCCGTTTCTGCGTGTCCCACATGTGGGTTAGTCAACAACCACTTTTCTTCCTCTTGTATGATCTCCTCTGCGTTTCTTGTTTCTAGTACAGTAGGGACCCGGAGATACGAAACGTGAAGTTCGGGTCGAGGCTCGATTTCTTGTTTGGTTATCACCGTCGAGCGTTGTACAGCTTACGGCATTAAGATTAGCGTAGGAGTATCCCCGGTTGTCTTCTTAACCCAATTATTACCTTTCCTAAAGTCTATTGAGCTGCTTTTGTTAACGCAAGTATCTTAGCTGCGGCGCCGGACTGCTGTACTCTGCGTATGAGAAACCAGGTGTTCGTAGAGGTCGAAAGACGAAGAGGTCAATGCATGCAGCGGTGTATCTTGAGCATTGACCCCCATGACGAACACCCAAAGAGAACGGTCATGTGGGACACTCAACGCTTGCGACAGCACCCTGTCTACGGCAGTGGTATACGCAAGGTTGATGAGCGATGTCGCTTCGTCAACTCTTACGGCTTGCGAAAACGTTCGCGAGACCGCGGCATCGCTCTGTAGCTCGATGAGACGGACGAGCCTGACGCGTTTCCCCAGTGATAGTCGATCGACGCGAGACTCGACCATTACAAAGCAAGTCCCACGACCCATAGTAAGTAGGGCTCAGCGTGCCTACGGCAATCTCACCGCATGTCCAATTGATGATCTTCCTCTGTAGCTGCTGCTGCGGCTGCCGCCTGCGCTGCCGCGCCGAACGATTTCAAGTTCTCCGCCTGGTGGCACACCTCCCCCTCCTAAGCTCGGCAGCCGCGCCAGCCGCAGCTTGAGGTCGCCACTGAGCTTCCTTGTAGGGAACTTGCCACCGCCACTGCTACCGCCGCAGGTTGCGGCGGCCGGCGAGGGTTGTGCTTGAACGACAGGCCCCATAGGCGCCTCTTGACAGCAGGCGGCCTACGCTGACAACGCGCTCTAAGCTGGATTGCCACGCGGGAGGGGGGGCGACAGCGTATGGTAGTAGCCGCGGAGAGGGTAGAGAGCGAAAAGGAGGCCAACAGGGAGATGAGGCATATAATATTGAATTGTTCTTATGATTTTGCTCGGTAACGACGGGGGCATAGGACCTACTTTTTGTTGGAAGGCTCGACGAACACTGGATTATGTACGTCAGCCCCTGACATCTATTGTATGTAGACCAGAGGCAGCATACCCATCGACGACACTTTTCCATGTTCCGAGCCAACCTGCAGATGATTGATGCGGACTGCGTGGTTGCTACGCCAGGAAATAAGACGAATGGGCGCAAAACTCAAAGCATTCAACTGATAGGAACTTTCTCTCCAAGCCTTTGCTATGATCAAGCTGCCGCTTTTACGTACACACCCGAAGAGAGCCAACTCCCCAACAACGGCGGCGCAACTGGGGAGGGGGCGGGCACCCGTCAGCACAGCGGTGTATGTTGGCCGGAGGAAAAAAACGTCCAACACTGCACACCCGTAACAATAAGCATGTCGCCTCTACATGTACCTCCCCGTTCTGCATGTCCCGCAGTGGGGGTTAAAGTCGATAATCAGTTGTGTTCCTCTTGTATGATCTCCTCTGTCTCCTCCTAGACTACAGAGCGTTCGTGTTATTTCCTGTCCCACCAAGTCCCACTCGACTGCTGTACACTTTCTACGAAAGGCCGTTGTTTCGTGCACTCACCACCATATGATGGCATTTTTCGCTTCTTGCCGGTGGCCCCTGCCTGTCGTGCGTATTGTAGCGTCTCTCCGCCCCGGTTGCTTGCTTGCTGCTTGCCTTTTAACCCGGCCGTTCGGTCTCGAACGGTAGGCAGTCCCGCGTCGGCCGGAATATGCACGCTTCGTAGCGGTTAGGGCCAGGGCCGGCCGAGAGGCCTGTTTGCTAGACGCTTCGACCGTCAGGACGAAGACAGCGAGGGAATATGATATCAACCTAGCAGCAGCAGCAGCAGCAGCAGCAGGGTAGCGAACCGTTCAGGAAGCATTTGTTGCGACAACAACAGCGGCAAGCGACGAGCGGCGCGACCGAGAGGGGAGGAACAAAGAACATTTTCCGCTCGCGCGGCGGCATTGTTGAACGAAGTCGAAGGGGAACAATCCCCCTACAAGCACGAGGCTATTCTAACAATATGCATATGATTACCTGGACTGCTTGTAGTAACAGCAGTGGTCTAATTAGTAACGCAGGCCACGGAAGCGGTTGCGATAGAAGAAAATGTGTGTGCGTGTCTCCACGACGTCTCCACACTCCCTTCCGCTGTGTAACCGTCACGCATACCCCCCCCCCCTACCCATATTTTTGTGTATTATTTGGATTTTGTACCCCCATCCCGGCCCACCTCTATTTGAAAAAAAAAATCCAGAAATCGAACAGCAGGGGTGCCGACGAGCTTGCAGGCGTTCTCGAGCCCAGGAGCTTGCTTGAGAAACGACGTTCCACGTGGAAGGACTATCGCCAACAAGAGCGGAGCGGGACTGGGAACGGTCCTAGTGAGCCAGCCCATGGCGGTTCCATCGAAGAAAGCAGACCTGAGCAGGGTGAAAGAAGAAGCCGGCACTGCTCCTCCACCTATCGCAATAACAATGGCCTCTGCTGGTACCACAACAACAGCTCCAAGCTCCAACAACGTCACACCGCAACAACAGAAAAAGGTGGGCGTGATGCCGCTGCCATCAACAACAGCCGGGACGCCTCAACCTTCAGCGGCAGCTATGGCCTCCATGTTCGGCAGCTTCCCGGGGATGTTCAACGCCGCCGCGTTCGCCGCGGCGGCGGCGGCCGCTTTTCCCGCGGGGGCGAAGGGGCTGCCCAAGCTGGCGCCGGTTGCACCAGCAGCAGCGGCGGCAGCTTCGCCGGCGGTCTTGTGTCTGGCACCAAAGACAACTGCTGCCGCCGCCGGCAAGCCCCCGCCTGGCAAGCGGAGAAAGCGGGGCCGGAACGAAGATGGCGATGCCCCGGAGACAGGAGGTGCTACAGCAGCCGCCGATGCCGTGAAGCTCGAGGAGGTTAACGGAGCAGCAGGGGGACCCTTACCTGCCGGCAGGATAGCCGGGAGGGAACAGCAAGCCATCTCTCCGCAGCAGGTGGCTTCTCTTGGAGCCGCGGGGATGGGGGGCGTAGCCGGAGGGGGAGGGGCGCCGCCACTGCCGATTAGCGTGCTCGCGCCGAGCTCGTTCGACGGCGACATGTCTACCCAAGAACGGAAGGTAGGCCCGCGGCTGTTGTAAATTAATTCGCCACCTGGGTGATGTTCTTACATCTGTAGACTGAAGGCCTTAGACTGCTGTATCTTACTCATTATTACATTATTACGATACATCTGGAGCTGTAGTTGCGCATATGCGTGTCATGCACACCATGTCACTGCTGTATAGTAGTACATACCGCCCATACTGGTACAGCCCTTGGCGTAGGCTACTGCTTTGTCGACTAAGATGACACTTGTGAACTCATGTGCATAACACCGCCGTCCATGGGTGCACCATGTATTAAGGTTTAACCCATCTCTGCGGTGGCTGTGTACTGCTGTAGATATCGTCTATCCCAGCACGAAAGCGAGCAGCATTTTTGGAACATCTGGAACAGCAGTTTTTGGCTTACAAAGCAGTAGGGATACTCTTGAAAGGCTGCAGCAGTATCCCGCAATATCTTGTCTCACTACAGCAGTACTCTCGTATGGAATGGCAATGCTGCCGATACATAATTCCGTTGAAAGCTATGCATATGTAGTGCCACAATAAAATGCGAAACGGGACCCATGTTCAGGAGGTGGCTCTTTAACGGCTTGGTCGCCGCTCAAATTATTTGTCTTGTCGCCACCACCGCTGGTAAAGAGCACTGGTTTATCTAGATTTTAGTCGGGGAAGCACATCAGCTCCGTTTGTTTTTAAACGTGGCTGTGTTGTGTCTTGGGGTGGACTTGGATTTCTTGGCTGCGGGGGGGGGCATTCTACGCAGTGCTCTCTTCCAAATACCCCTCCCTTTTGACATCCATGATCTGTCGCAGGAGCAAACAAGGTTGACATGACCAGCTTTGGTTATCGTATCCTTTTGTGAAGCGTAGATAGCCTGGACCGCCGTTTGGATAGCCGGGATGCCCAGTCAAACCCATGGCGTATCTCGTCTGGCACAAGAGCAAACGCAAGGATGGTATGACCAGCTTCTGGTTCATCCTTCGTGAAGCGTAGATAGCCTGGGCCGCCGTTTAGACAGCCGAGATGTCCGATCATCCCATGGCGTGTACATCCAGTATCTTGTTTGGCACAGCGAAATCAAGAATGATGACCACCTTGTGGCCCATCCTTTGTCAAACGTAGACAGTCTGGGCCGGCAAAAACCCGACGTACATATCTCTCCGCCCCCCGGCGTTTAGAAATGCGAGGTCAGCGGTCTGACCAAATATCGACGACGTCATGCGTGTGCATGAGTACACTGGCCCATGGACGTCCAGTCAGTGGAGTCAGACAGAGAGAATGTTTGGTGAGCGGCCCCGCGGTGGGCGTGATTGACCCCCCCCCCCTGAGACTTCAACCAATCAGCTCTCGCCACGGGTCAATCTCATGAACAGACGCAACTCGGATTTACATCAGTAGTATGATACATCTGTGGATACTCTCGTCTACCTGCTTGGGCGTTATTCCGTACATCAATGTAGATACAAGTAGAAGGCGTGTTTCAACGCGGCACCCAGCGGGTCTATCCATGTTGGAGGCGGAGCCAAGATCGCGCGCACACCGTGCAGTCCGTGTAGATTCATTACCGTACATACGTTCGGTTTCCGTGGTTGTTCCCACTGTGTTTTCCGCGAACGATTCCGGCACACACACAAGCAACCTACCAGCAGACACAGGAGCCCCTCCCTTCAAATCATGTTTGCTATGTTCGCATACATCGCCCCTCTCTCAATCTGCCCCTTTCTTTCACCGCTCACGCCCCCTCAAGCAGGCATACTGTTGTAGGTTGGTCGCGCAATGCGCCACTCCCCCTTTGAACCGATTGTTGAAATCTCGATTACCGTACGAGGCGGAGAGATCACCCCCCCCAAACCGATTTTTCGATGCTCAATTGCTCCTCCACAACCAAGATTGTGCCAACACCAACAAATGGTGATTTTCGAAGCAACCCCAACAATAGTGGCTTTGGAAACAGCACCAACAACGGTGATTTTAGGAGCAACACCAACAATGGTGGCTTTGAAAATATCTCGCCGACGACTTTGCGTTGACGTATCAGGCTCATTCAGAACACCCACTTGGTTGAGTAGCAATCGAGCCTTTTGAGAATTGTTCTAGGGGGGGGTTGCCATCTCTCCGCCTCTTACGGAATACCATGGTACGGTATACGGTACGGTACAGACAATCTTGGTTGTGGAGCGATCGAGCCTTTTGAGAGTCGTTCTGGGGGGGGGTTGCCATCTCTCCGCCTCTTACGGAATACCACGGTACGGTATACGGTACGGTACAGACACTCTTGGTTGTGGAACGATCGAGCTTTGGGAGTCGTTCTAGAGGGGGGTTGCCGTCTCTCCGCCTCTTACGGAATACCACGGTACGGTATATGGTACGGTACAGACAATCTTGGTTGTGGAGCGATCGAGCTTGTGAGAGTCGTTCTAGGCGGGTTGCCATCTCTCCGCCTCGTACGGAATACCACGGTACGTTATACGGTGCGGTACAGACAATCTTGGTTGTGGAGCGATCGAGCTTTGAGAGTCGTTCTAGCGGGGGTGCCATGTCTAATGCCTCTTCCGGCACTCTCCTCCCTCGCAGCTAGGCCGTGCGTGTGTGTGTGTGTGTTGTGGCATTGTGTGTGTTACCAACAACTTGCAACCAATGGGAATGGCAGCCACGGACGGAAAACATCCGCGGGGCTCATCGAGTATCTAGGTGGTTCTGGGCGCGAATGTTAGTGTTTGCCGTAGGTTGCATAAGATACCACCCCCCCTGAACCGATCTTCAAAGCTCGACTACTCCGCAGGAAAAGCAGTGACGGTGCCGATTATGGCGGCGTTGGGACCGTCTCGTCGAGAGCTTTTTCTGAAAACTCATTCGTTGATTTCGGCATCCTCTTCGTCGTGAAGTGGTCGAGCTTTGAACGTCGATCCAGGGGGTGTGATATCTTTCGCCACCCGCGGTATGGCTCCGCCGGTCCCAAAGGTTGCAGGAATGCGAGGCCAATGGTCTAACGACTGCCGCATGCGGTTACATGGGATACGACGTCAGTGGTCTCATGAGTGCGGCATGCGTTCACAAGAGCCCATCTCCACCACCACCATCACCGGCCGCTATTTCTGCGGTGCGTTCCTCACACGTCGCACTCGCTCGTCTTGTTGATGCTTCCGGCTTCGCTCGCTCGCTAAATATCTCGCAACAAAAAAAAAAAAGGAGCGCCGAAAAATTCGGAACAGAATGAGCGCCCAGCAGCACCGGGAGAGGCAGCGGCAGCGAGTGGACACCCTGGAGGACTGCTTGCGCCTGCGCGACAACGAGATCGCTAGGCTGGAGAAGCAGGTGTGTGTATGTGCGTTGTGGTGCTACCGTACAAGACTGGCGTATTTTCATTGGGCACCCAGCGTCCTATGTTCCATGTGTGTGTGAGTCGGGGAACATGCCATAGAACACCTCTGACACAAGTTTTATCTTTCTGGTAAACAAAACCGTACCTGGACAAGCTATGCCGCTCTTTTGCACCCCCTTACTGATTATAAAAGCCCACGCTGTCTTAGTCGTCTCTGCTAAACCGTTAGCGGCTAATGTGACCCCCTATTCAGGGCATCGCCGCTAAACCGGATCGGCAGTTATCTAGTACTGTGAGTGCTGAGGTGCAGCCGTGCCACGAGATATGTACCCCCCACACCTGAAAAATACAAAACACCCAAAACAAACACACAAGCAACACCCCAAACCATTTATATATGATGCACAGTTACAGCATAGTACAACTATGCCCCCAAACATCAACTATCACCGGTAGGATAGTAGAGCAACCTTCATCACTGCTGTTTTGGAACCACTATTCAGGGCATCCCACTAAACAAGGAACCGCGAAACCGGGACAACGACTGTACTTGCCCCGGTTCATGACGTTGACCCCCCCCCCCCCCCCCCCCCCCCGGGCGTGATTTTCTTTGTGCGCGTTGGGAGGGAGGGGGCCTCCCTTTTGGAACGGAACAAGGAGCTGGGCGAGCGGGTGCATCAGCTCGAGTCGGTCGGCGGGGAGAGTAAAACACAGCAGCAGCAGCAGGAGCAGCAACAGACGAATGCCGACTCGTCTCCAGCTCATGCTGCCGCATCAGCTGCTGCTGCTGCTGCTGTAGCAGCAGCTGCGAGTACGGATACCGCCACCGGGTCCTTCTGTTGCGAACACGCTGCTGCTGCCTTCAAGCTGGCCTCAAGCTCTTCTTCTGCCGAAGGGGTGTCCGCTAGTACCACAAGGGGTAAGGGGGGGGGGGCGTACGATGCGTCGGACGCGGGGGGTGTCACCACGGAGGACCAGGCGCACTCATCTTCCTCCGAGAGCGACTCAGACGTGAGCTGCTTATCGCGTTTTTTTTTCTGTTTTTTGTTCTTTTTGTCAACCGTCTCTTTCTTGACATGCGTACTGAATTTGGCTGCTCCCACTTCGACAACGGCTGCTGTGTTATTTGGTCGGAGAGCGACTTAGACGTGAGCTACCATTCATTTTTTTTTTTGTTTTGTTTCCACCGTTCTTCGCACAACAAACGATTGGGGGGGCTCAGCTCTGTGCTGCCTTTCGCGTGGGACGTGAGCTACTGAATGGTTGTTGCCTGCTGCGGCGTCAACAACCCCTTTTTTTCTGTTTTTTCGACGTCTCAACCGTCAAGACAAACAAAAAAAACAAGTTGAAAAAATATGAAGTTTCTACGTAACGTACCCCTACATATGGAGAGGGTTGATCAACAGCCGGAAAATAGTACTCTTGTACCCAGCCTTCTCTTGAACCTTACCGTGCGGTATGCTTTTGACTCTAATACCCATACTCGTCTTTTTATCAGTTCCCTGGACTTGTAATCAATTCTTCAAATAATGAGAACTGTCACAAATCGGCAAAACTCTGTGCTGCTTCTTGTCTGGGATGTGCTCTGCCTGAAACGTTGACGCAAATCACTTTTCGTCCTACCCGAGCTGTCGTGTATCCGCCCTCAGCTGAGCAGCAGGCAGCATCTTTGTCCCCCACCCCCTACCGCTGTCTCTGGAAGTGAAAGCACCAGAAAACGCAATGTTAGCCATTCGCAGCGGTCATCCGTATGCAAGGAAGTTAGCAGGATGCAGCGCACTCGGTATTTTCACATGTTCACGCCAGTCCTTCTCCGACAGTATGGTAGGATCGAACATCGGCATCGCCTCCCACGGAGGTCTGCGAATCCGCTACCTCCCTTACTACCGTTGTGTGATACGTAGCTCTTGTGGAGCAGCAGCAGGGCTTGTTGTTTTTTCCCTCTGTCGCCGAAGAATGTATTCCTCGAACGACGCGCTGCTCCTTCCCCCCTCCCGTTACCAAAGTAGGAAGGCACGATTAGTAGTCGGTGATCGGTCCTGTAGGACCCTCCTCTCGAGCACGCATGGTCAATGGTCTAACCGCTAAGGCATGCAAAACATAAAGAGTACCCACCCCCCCCCCCTCCCCCCGCCCGCGTGCCCCACAAGGACCTCTCCCCGATGTCGACGCTGGACAAGCGGTCGAACCACCCGGCCACGCCGCCCCTCAGTCCCTCTACCGCCACAAGTGGTGGTGCCATGGCTATGGCGAGCGTGGCCGCCGGGGGCATAGCCGGCTCGTTGGCGGTGACGGACGAACTTCTCGAGTTCTCCCTGTCGGCTTGCGGCACCTCGGCGGGGACGGTCACCACAGCCGGCGTCTGGACGGGGGGCGACGTGATGATGGCCGGAGAGGGGGAGGAGGAGGAGGCTGCTTCGCCGCCGTTAGCCCGGTCGTTTTCGACCGTCGCCGCTGCCGTCGCCGCCGTCGACGACGGGGCGGCTGCGCCGCCACCCCCGCGACTAGCGGAGAGCCTCTCGACCATGGAGTTCTCTGTCCCTGACGGCGTGATGGCGGCCGACGCCGCTCAAGCACAGCCTCCGGCGGGCGGTGGAGGCCTTTCCGCTTCCGGTCTGCTTGCCTTTGAGGCCGCTGGCGCCGGCGCCGGCGCCGGCGGGAGCGGCGCCGGCGCGGCGGAGGGTCTGGTGCCGTTTGGACATCATCCGGCCGCCGCCGCCGACGGCATGGGTTGCTGCTCCGAGGAGGACGAGCTTACGATGGCCGCGCTTGACCCGATGGAGATTGACGCTCTCCTGGCTTGCGCCGGAGGGGACGGCGAGGACGGCGTTCGGGACCCATTCGATACCACCGACAGCAGCAGCAGCACCGTCGTCAACGGTGGCGGAGGAGGCGCTAGCCCGTGCGAGCTGGAAGCGGGGAACAATACTGGTGTTCAAGCGAACGCGGCGGCGGCGGCGGCGGCGGTGGCTGCTACCGCTTCATCTTCGTCCTCGAGCGGGAATAAGCGGGGTCATGGAAACGACCACCTACAGCAGCAGCACCTACAGCAGCACCACGATGTTGCGGTCGCGCCTGGCCGCCTCCACGCCCCGCCCTCGAGGAACTCCGGCACCCCCCCCACCTCCTCTTCGCAGGCACGAGGCAGCAGCGCTCGCCCCCCCTCTTCTTCCGTTGCTGCTGCTACAAGCGTGGCCGGCTTCCGCGGCGGCGGCCTTCCCTCTGGAGACAACGGGCGCGGCGGCGGCGGCGGCGGCGCTGGCGGAGGAGGGGTGGCGTCAACAGTGGCGGCCGGGGTTATGGGAGCGCTGTGTCTTGCCGGCGTCGTGCTGAACTCAGGGACAACGACAACTCCGGTAATTTTTTTTTTTTTTACGAATTCATCTCCATCCACGCATATGCTCAACGAGTCCAGGGAATTTTGTATTCTGCTGTGTGTAGCTTTTGATACATATCGCTTATTTTTCACGTCATTTCCTACTCTACTTTCGAATCGATCTTTATCCACAGATAATAAAGAGTCTAGGGTAATTTTTGTTTTCTTGTGTGTAGCTTTAGGCGCCAAGAAACGTGCTGTGTTGTGGACCCCGGGTTGGTACCCACATTCCCACACCCGCAGGAGTTCCCCAAGAGTCTCAGATAAGGATTATTTTTTGTTGTTCATGTCTTGGGCTAGGATGCTCTCCCTCGTTTCTCACTTTTTACGGCAGCCGTTCCCCAACATGTCACTTTTTCTTCGTGTCCTGATGTTTTCCCTCTTCTGCAGCAACAGTTCCCCAATGGTCTCACTTTTTCTTCGTGTCCTGATGTTGTCCCTCTTCTGCAGCAGCAGTTCCCCAATGGTCTCACTTTTTCTCCGTGTCTTGTCTTCTCTCCCCATCGTACGTTTTTTTTTTTTTACGGCGCAGGGTGGCTTCATGTGTTTTTTGTCTCCGTTGTCACTGGAACAGCAACAGCAGCAATTCCCCAATTATCACAGCAGTGTTTAGAAAGTTTACGGGTAGTCTTTGTGTGTGTTTTGTGTAAATGTTCTGTAAAGTTCTTGTACAATTGCACTGCTGTCTTGAAGTTCTCTTCCCGTTTTTTTTTTTTTTCGATGACGCAGGATGGCGGCACCGGTACCGGACGAGCGCTCGTACCGGCACACAGGAACTCACCGCCTTCCGTCATCACGTCCCGTGGCGGCGGTGCTCGGGTTCTATCCGCGGCAGGCGACGACGACGACGAAGACGGTAAAGAAGCGTGTTCTTTTCTCGTCTTCTCAGAAGTCATTCGAAGAAAGACTGCCTTTCCGAAATGCTGTGTTGAAGTATTTTTTTTTTGCCAGATTTTTTTGAAAGATTTTTTAATTCTGTTATTTACTCCCCGTGGGGGCGGGCTGTGCTCGAGTTCTGTCCGCGGCAGGCAATGACGACGACGAAGACGGTAAAGAAGCTTTTTTTTCACAAGTCAACCTTTTCGAGGTGTAGTGCCACGGTCGAAGGGGATGTGTTGAACTGTTTCTTTTTTGTTTTGCCGGACGTTTATTAGAGGTTATTTTTTTGTTGTTGTTGCACTTGAGCATTCGGGGGAAGTGCGTACTTGAAGTTGTATCCCCTCGCTTTGGCGTGTATGTGTGTGTGCGTGTCTTGTAGGCGTGTATGCCAACGCGACGGAGCCTGACGCGTGTTTTCTTTTTTAACCCAAAAACGAGTTTCCTTCCTAAGTACATGCGTATCACAGGAGAATAAAAGAAAGCGCCCTTCTTTCCCGCAAAGTTGGGGGAAATGCATTATTGAACTTGTTCCCCCTCGCTTTAGTGTGTTTGTGCGTGTCTTGTAGGCGAGTATGCCAACGCGACGAAGCCTGACACGTGTTTTTTTTCACCCGAAAAACGAGTTTCCTTCTACATGCGTATCACAGGAGAAAAGAAAGCGCCCTTCTTTCCTGCATGTTCGGGGAAACGTTTACATCGAGCTTATAATGTACCTTTTTGGCGTGTGTGTGCGTGCGTTGCGTGTCTTGCAGGCGAGTATGCCAACGCGACGGAGGCTCAGCCGTGGGTGTTCCACCCCGTGGAGGCGGAGCCCTGGCGGTGGCGGGCCACCGCGGCCAGGGAGAGGAGAGGGCCTTGGGTGTGGGAACGAGCCCTCAACCTGTTCGGAAACGTGAGTCCGGTATCCCGCAGGTTGCATCATGAGGTATCATCACACCCCCTGGGTCCATTTTTCAACGCTTGATTCCCCGGCTGGGGAAAAGCCGTGACGGCGCCGAAAATGACGGAGTTGAAACCGTCCCGTCGAGAGAAAGCTTTCCGAACACGAATCGTTTGCCTTCGGCATACTCTTGGTCGTGGAGTATTCGAGCCTTGAAAATCGTTCCAGGGGGTGTGGTATCTTACGTCATGTCACCTACGGTATTCTACCACCCCCCGTGGCATCGAGTTGAGTTGTTGTCGCCTATCGCGGGTTGCGTTGGATACGTAGCACACCACACCCATGCCCACAACGCCGTTTTTGGAAACGTGAGTTTGGTATACGCAAGATACCACCCCCTGGCATCGAGTTGAGTTGTTGTCGCATTTCGCGGGTTGCACTAGATACGTACGGTACCGCACCCACGCCCCCACGCCCATCTTGGAAACGTGAGATGCGTGAGATGTGGCACACCCCGGCTCAGCCTCTTCAGAAAGTTGAGTTAGGGATGTACGTAACATGCCATCCTTCCCCCGCTTATCGTCTTTGGAAACGTGAGTTAGGCATACGTAAGATTCCACGCACCCTGGACCGATTTTTTCATAAAGCTCGGCCTTTTCATACTCCACGACGGAGAGGATGCTGCACTACTATGCTAAGCTTCTGGTTTATCTTCGTGAAACGTAGACTGGGCCAGCGAAAAACCCGACATGCATAAATATCGCTCCGTTGTAGGGATGCGAGGTCAATGGTCTAACGACTACGGCATGCGCGTACATGAGTACCCCCCCCCCCCCTCCGGCTCTCGCCTACCCTTGCCTAGCCTAGATTGTGGTAGACCTTATAGGGTAGGGCAAGAAACTTCCTTCTTCACGACACAACGCCTTACGAATGCGCCACTCCCCCTGTCCGTCCCGTCTTCTTCCCACGAACGTTCATGCGAATACGCGATCTGCTCGTCTCTTTTTAGGCGGGGTTCGGCAACGATCATCCCCGGGGCGGCATTGACGCGGGCTGCCACGAAGACGTGGTCGGCGTGTACGCGAAGGTGAGAAGCCCGCCCTATCCCAAACCCTAACCCTAACCCTAGCCCTAGCCCTAGCCCTAGCCCTAACCCTAACCCTGAGGCGGCGGCGGCGGCAAGTGCAGCGCTGGTGCGTTACAACCACCTTCAATAACAACCGGGTTGGAGGTCACTTGGACCGACAACGGGTGGCGGCAAGTCCATTGTTCGTACGTTACGTACAACCTCGGTACGTTCAACCTGCAACCACGGCCGTGTTTCAGTAGCGGTCACGGCGAGATAGTTGTTGGGTGTTGTCGTGCATGGACACGGCTGAAAATCGAACAGTGAACCCGAACCGTACCCGCAACGGCGGTGCGTTTTTCCGGCGTTCTCATTTGCATACTTGTTCTTACCCCCCCCGACCGCGCGCGCGCGCCAGAGGACAGCCAGGCCGGCGTACACCCCTATCGCCCCTCCGCCTGCCATCCCCGACCCCATCGACGAAGACCTCAAACAGCAGCAGCAGCAGCAGCAGCAGCAGCAACTCTCGGGCAAGGAGCTCGATCTCTTCTACAACCGCAACAGCAACAACAACGTCGACACTGCGGGCGATGGTGGTGTTGCCGCCGGCTACGTGAGCGGGCCTCCGGGTGGTGGAGGCGGCGGGCAAAGGGGCCAGGGAGGGCGTCAAGGGCCGACGGCGACAGCGGCCGCGGCGGGCGGCAGCCGGGGAGGTGCTGGTCTGCCGTCGGATAGGACTTCGTACGTGTTCTGCCCCGAGGCTCACGGCATGATGAGGTACGGCGGCGGTATGGCGGCACTTTTTTTTGTTTGTTCAAGTACTCCTTGGGGTCATGGGTTTTGAGAGTCGATTTTACAACACGAAATCCGTAATCAGGTACATTTACAGCGGTACGGCGGAACTCTACATATACTTCGAGGCATTTTTTTTGGTACAATTTTATGTTTTTTTTTTCTATTTCGAATGAGGTGATTGTTTTACAACTATTTTTGATGAGCATACTGGATGTTTATTTGCTGTGGGTGTGCTGCGTTGCCTGCTTCCTGTTTGGAAGATGTTTTTTTTCAGTAATGTTTATAGACCTATAGACGGATTTCCTACGGGCTGAGGGCTCACGAGATTGCACCTACCGATAGCCCTGTGATGCGAGGGCCCTCCCGGCGTGCCGCGCGCTCTCGGGGCGGACTGCGTGCAGCGCTAGCGAGGGCAGAAAGTCGCGTCTCCAACATCTACCATGGGTCCACCAATCACGCCCCGATTTCTTGGCAGTGCAGGCCATTCATACATTCGGCAAGCGGCTGACGTCGTGCGTGTGCGCTGGCTACACACCTTACCACACACGACAACCAAACCACCAAGTCTCCGCATTGCACGAGACAATGTAATCTACTGCTGACAATGTAATCTATTGCTATAGCGCGGTCTCCCTTTCGATCCCGGCGAAAAGCGGGGGGGCTAGCGGCCGGTGTCATGCGCACTGCTGTCTGCAAAAAAACTACACCCGCCCGAGAAAAAAAAAACATGGAATACGTTGTTTGTTCCTCCGTTCCATGGAAGAACTTTTCTTTTTTTTTGCGGAAATATCTTCTGGCTTCTATCGTTGTATTGTAAAATGTAGGTTACCTTTACAGATGTTTTTTGTACTTGGCACCAGCTGGCATCACTGATATAAGTCATCAGTGTTTAGACTTAAAAAGACTCGAAATAAGTCCAGTACTCAGCCGGTTTTCCTCCATTCACTGAAAAAAAAAAAAAAAACTCGAATGGGTAGTCTTTTCTGTGCGTGTATTCATTTCTCCCTTAAATCTTCTGGCTACCTGCTGCCTACGCGGTAGTACAGCAGCACTATAATGTAGAGTGGCTACAGGGACGACATGCCCCGCATCCCACCACCACACACCAACACACGAACTTGTACATTCATCTGACTCCCAAAACCCTCTTACAGAGCATATAGCAGTACTACTGCTGCTTTGGCTAGCCAGATTTTCGTAAATCGGCAAAGGTTGTCTACACAACGTGCTGCAAAAAACACCGTACGTAATGATTTGCGCTGCTTTTCCTCGCCACCCGTACTCAGGGTCGCTCCTCTGTTTTCTTATTGAGACGTTTCTTCTATTGTGTGGCCCAGGTTGAGCTATTATGTAACTTTTTTCGTGGAAAAAGTGAGCCTTTGTTTCTTAAAAACAAATTTCTTACCCCGAGTAATTGAATACTCTCTGTCTCCTCCGGCCGTCGCATAGTAACAGAGAAGTATGAATTTATTCATGGTGCGTCCCTTCTCTTTGTTTGTGTGTGTACTCGGCAGGATACAAGTCTCCGAGATCTCGGGGGGGGGGTACGCAGATTAGATAGATACAAGTATGATAGACTGACTTGGTGCAGCAGGCTTTGCCTCTTCTTGCTCACGTCTGTCACACTCTCTCTAATAATCGAGGAACTTGAGTCACTCCTTTGTGCAACACGCTCTCGACAAAGAGCCCGCGAGCGTGATAACGTAGTACACGCGCCGACACCCCCAAATACTCTTTTAACAAACAAGCAACTTTTCCTCTTCGCAGCATTTCTTCTTCGAGTGGAGCGGTACGCCGCGAAGCGCCCTTGTATGTACAACGAACTGTAAGACGTGCCTTGAGAGTCCGTTTCTTTTCCTTCCAATATACCTGATGGGACTCGACACTAATGTACATTCCCTATGCGGTTGCCTTCTTATCCCGCCGCCTCCTTTCGACCTTGCGTCGCGTCGTCCCCCTGTCTCGCAGCGGAGGCATGATCGAGCGTGCCAGCAAGGCGACCTACGACTACCACCACCCCGGAGCTAGACCTTGCCCTGCGGGAAGGGGCGGCGACGGCGGCGTCCCCGAGGATGGGGATTCGGAGTTCCACGGAGGCGCTGGCGAGGTAGGCGTCTTGTTGTTGTTGTTATGCAGAGGGTGGGGGTAGTAAGTTCGTAAATAGTTGCTTGTTGTTTTTTGCCACCTCAGATAGTTGCGAGTGAAGCACGCGTATGTGTACCGTACGTGGCAGGAGGTATCACACCCCCTGGCCCAATTTTGAAGGCTCCTTTGTTCCGCAGCAGAAAGACTGGCGGTGCCAAAATTAGCGGCGTTGGGACCGTCTCGTCGAGATGTTTCCGAAAATATGTCGTTTGGTTTTGGCATCCTCTTCGTCGTGGAGTAATCGAGCTTTGGAGATCGATCCAGGGGGTCGTGTGCTACTCGCTTCGAATGGTATATCTCGTATGGTATATGGTATGGTATGGTACCGTACCGTACCGTAAATGGCATGGTACCGTACCGTGCCGTATCGCATCGTATCGTGTCGTATCGTACCGTATCGCATCGTATCGTATCGTGTTGCTCCGTACCGTACCGTACCGAATCGTACCGTACCGTATCGTATCGTATCGTATCGTATCGTATCGTGTCGTGCCGTATCGTGGGTCGTTCTTCTCAGTTTTGATTGGATGGGTCTTCGTCCGTTCAATCAGCCTACTGCATGTAATAGCGTGCCCTGAAACCGCCCTGCCTGCCTCGTCTTGCTTTGTTTTTTTCGTTCAGGTCAAGGTGAACGTGATCGATCCCCGTCAGGAACGCCTTCGGCTCCTGGCCGCAGACGCTCCTCAGGTGAGGTCTTGTCTAGGGTCTGTTGGAGGCCCTTTGGGTCTTCCCGGGTGTTGAACCTTACGGTCTGTTAAGAGAAACTGTTTAGGTCTAACCGTACGTTGAACCTTCACCGGATGTTGAAACTTACGGTCTGTTTAGAGACTCTTTAGGTCTAGCGGGATGATGAACATTACGGTCTGTCAAGAGACTACCGTTTAGGTCAAACCGGATGTTGATCCTTACGGTCTGTCAAGAGGCTACTGTGTTTGTCTAACCAGATGTTGAACCTCACGGTCTGTCAAGAGACTGCTTAGGTCCAACCGGATGTTAAACCTTACGGTATGTTAGAGACTCTTTAGGGCTAACCGGATGTTGAACCTTACGTTCTGTCAAGAGACTGTTTGGGTCTAACCGGATGTTGAACCTTACGGTCTGTCAAGAGACTATTGTTTAGGTCTAACCGGATGTTGGAACTCTACGGTCTGTCAAGAGACCCTTTAGGTCTCACCGATGTTGAACCTTACGGTCTGTCAAGAGACTGTTTGGGTCTAACCGGATGTTGAACCTAGGCTCCGCACATGGGACGTGTCACACACCGTGCCCTACCCAACCAACCCTAACCCTCACTCACGGCCAACCCTAACCCTCACTCACGGCCGCGAACTGGGCGTGAACGCGGCTGCTCTGGGTTGTTGGAATTCGGCATAGAGAGAGAGAGAGCGCTGGAGAGGAATCCAATCGACCCCCCCGAACCAAGGCTCAACCAATCAGAGGGCGTGAAATCCCGTGCAGATGGGGAATAGTCACAAAATATAACACACCGTAAAAAAACACTGGTACTGCCTCAGGTCCAGCCGCACGCGGAGGACCCGCACGCTGCGGTAGATGCGGCGGAAGCTCTCGCGCTGGTCTCGTCATCCGATGCCAACATGGACATGGATGGAGGGGGAAATATCTACTTTGGGTCTGGTAGAGACGAGGGAGGGGCAGCGTTTGGGGCGGGGGGGGACGATTCGAACCGTCCTCGGAGGAGAGGACCCGCCCCGATGCACCACCGCGGGCCGTCTGGAGGTGAGCTTCCTTTTTTTCTTTTCTTCTATTTTGAGGCAACCAATAAGCGTTGAGCTTCAGGCAAAGAGGACGTTGAGCCTCACGCAAAAAAATGAGCGATTCTTATGCGACCGCGCGTTCTGAACACAAGAAATGCATTTATTTCTTCCACGAAGAAGAGTTCGGGGATAGACTAGCATTGATGAGACCAACTTGTATTTGATTTGAGGCAACCAATAAGCGTTAGGCCTCACCGCTAAAAAAAATGGGTTGAGCCTCACGCAAAAATACCGTCGAGCCTCACGCACAATAAGCGATTCTTATGTGGTGGCGCGTTCTGCAACACAACAAATGAATTCATATCTTCCACGAAAAAGAACTCTGGATAGACCAGCATTGATAAGACGAACTTGTATTTCTACGGTTTCCCGGAGGAGCGTATTGCGATGTCTCCCCCCCTGTGGGAAGCAGGCTCATCGTTATTGTTGGTATTGAGCAGCGTATAGCGGTATCTCCCTGTCGGAAGCAGGCTCATCGTTATTGTTGGTATTGAGCAGTGTATTGCGGTATCTCCCTTGCTCATCGTTATTGTTGGTATTGGGCAGGGTATTGCGGTATCTCCCTTGCTCATCGTTATTGTTGGTATTGGGCAGGGTATTGCGGTATCTCCCTTGCTCATCGTTATTGTTGGTATTGGGCAGGGTATTGCGGTATCTCCCTTGCTCATCGTTATTGTTGGTATTGGGCAGGGTATTGCGGTATCTCCCTGTGGGAAGCAGGCTCATCCTTGTTGCTGATATTTTTGGCGGTGGTTGTGGTAATGTTGTTGTTTGCTGTTGTGCTTGTCCTTGTATTTGTTTCATTTTTTTTTTTATTATTATTATCACATAACGAATCAATCTCTACATGTATCTTTATAGAAAAGGAGTCTTCAGATGTAGATTAGCAATGAAATTCATAGCGTGAGCGGAGGCTACGTGTATTTCCACAATTTCCCGAGCAGCACATAGCGACATCTTAGTTGTAATTGTGCCGGCCTTCAGAAGTAACCCGATTCCCAAGAAAGTTATCAGTCACCGTTGTCAATTTTTTTCTTTCATGACATGCTGATGTATACATTCACACCATGACGATCTGGAGTCGTCGAGTGCTTGCTGTTGGGAACGTCGGTGCGTTTCTCTTGGCTCTTTTTTTTTTTTGTGCCTGCCGTTACTCAACCAAACTTGATTGTTACCCCCCCGTCCCCCCCTAAAAAACCACGGTAGCATCACGCCAACGGGATTTCCTTTGAAAACACCTGGAAAGATATTTTTTCTTCATCCAAACTAGACTATTTTTTCTGGCTATCCCTCCCTCCCTCCCTCCCTCCCTCCCTCCCTCCCTCCCTCCTCCCAACACACAGCCGCGACACCGCCCACCACGACGCCTGCCGATGTTCAACCAAACTCCATTTTTTTGTGGCCATCCCTGCCTTGCTCTTCGCAATACACAGCCGCGACACCGCTCACCACGATGCCTACCGTTGCTGTAACAAACTCCATTTTTCTGACCATCCCTCCCTGCCGCTTCCCAATGCACGGCAGCGACTTCCGCCCACCACAATGCCTACCGTTGCTCAACCAAACTCGACTTTTTCTGGCTATCCCTCCCTCCCTATTCCCCACAACACAGCACCAACTCCCCGCACCCTACAAATCCTATTTTCACTCGTCCACGCCCAGTGTTCGTTTTTTTTCCCTCCCTCTATCTGGTCCGGTGAGAAGCCGGCGTGCTCCGTCCCGTCTTTGTAGGGATGCGAGGCCAATCGTCTAACGATTACGGCAGGCACGACCATGAGCACCCCCCCCCCTCCCCCATGGACAAGTTTGGTAAATTAGACAACAGCGAAAAAACGATCGCGATAATTGGGGATAGATGGTGGGCACAAGAGGCCCTAGAGGACGGGGATAAGATGTGCAAGAAATTTTTATGGAGTTTGTGGCAGAAACGTAAAGAGCTCCCAAATGTTGGTGGTGTCTCTAGTAGGTGTAGGAACGGTGCTCCGTCTCGAAAGGGACGCGTGGTCAATGGTCAAATGACTACGGCAAGCAACAAATGAGCACGCCCCCCCCCCCCTCTATCTCCTCGAAAAAACACAGCAGCATCCCCCCAGCGGGGTTTCCACGCCGGAGGCGGTGACTACCTGCAGTCCCCGTCCAGCGACTCGGAGTTCCTCACCATGCTGGTGCCCTCGAGCGCCCTCGATTGGGGTCCGAGCACCCTTGCGGTCCGAGCCTCGCTTAACGGGACGAGCGACGGCGACGGCGGGAGGGGGGCGACGGCGGGAGGATCGTCGTCATCCTCTTCTTCTTGGGTGGAGATCGATTGCCAGATCCTCAGCGCTCGGCTCGTGCAGGACGTGTCCTTCTCGGATTAATTACGAGTGACGGGTGGTGGTTGTGGGATTATGGGGGACGGACGGCTTGTCGTTGTTGGATTGCCCGCGGTAAGCGGCGGAGAGATGGCTGTGGGATTATGGGACGGACGACTTGTCGTTATTGGATTGCCCGCGGTAAGAGGCGGAGAGATGGTTGTGGGATTATGGGACGGACGGCTTGTCGTTGTTGGATTGCGGCATGTAAGAGGCAGAGAGATGGCTGTGGGATTATGGGACGGACGACTTGTCGTTGTTGGATTGCCCGCGGTAAGAGGCGGAGAGATGGTTGTGGGATGATGGGACGGACGGCTTGTCGTTGTTGGATTGCGGCATGTAAGAGGCAGAGAGATGGCTGTGGGATTATGGGACGGACGACTTGTCGTTGTTGGATTGCCGTATGTAGGAGGCGGAGAGATGCCCAACCAAGGGGGGCCGGGAAGAGCCTGATACGTCTACGGACCCAAATCCACGACATGTTTCCGAAACCACCATTTTTGGTGCTTGCACAAGCGTTTTGGTTGCGGAGCCAATCGAGCTTTTGACAGTTGCTAATAGGGGTGTGCCATCTCTCCGCCCTTTTATGGCAGTAGGGGGCTGTGGTGGAAGTGGTCGTGATGATAGATGATGCTTCTTCGAGTGTGCTGCCACGACGACGATGTTTCTTTTTCTTTTTTTTCCGAGAACCGACGGCGATGTTTCGTGCGTTCTCGGAGCATGCTAGGGGTTTTGACGGCAATGCGATGGTGCTTCCTCGAACGGCGCTGTGAAGACGACGATCTTGTGGTTACTTCCGAGTATTGACGATGTGAGTAGTGTGTTAGGCGGCCCACCTCGACGAACTACAATGCTCTCGGGGTATGCTTGGCTATCTCGACAAGAATGGTTTTCTCGGGGTATCTCTATCTCGACGATGATGCTGGAAACGTGTTCTCGGAAGGAATTGTACACTACAGTAAGTAGTGCGGACTAATTTTTTTTGCCATTGGTAATTATTCCGTCGCAGGCGTGATGACGCCCTTGTTCGGGATGGAAACAAGCGAGCAAGCAACACGAGGAACGTTTTTTAGGCTCGTTTTTTTTTGTTGTTGTTGGGGGGGGGAGGAGACACCCTTGGATGGTGTCGGTTGTAGGCAATGATGTCGCATGGAAACAGGTTCACCCAACCATCCTGATTATTTCAGGTGTGTTTATAAGTACAGCCTCTGCTGGTTTGTTCTGGGGACGTGGTGTTTATTTTTTTTCGTTTCTTTTTGTTCTTGCGAGAACACAGCAAGTCCATCTCTTCCACAGATATTAAAGAGTCCGTGGTAGGATTATGTTTCGTGGTTTTTGTTTCCCGCAGCAGTCTCGTGTGCCGCGTGGGGTAGGTAGTCGTGGTTGGGTAGCCTTGTCCCACCGCGCCATGACCTGCCCGGTTCGACGTCAGCACGCAAGGCGTTGTATAGAAGTCTTGCCGACTCGTCTTGTCTGCCTTGGGGTATTCCCCCCCTCTTTTATTTGATCCCTTCCATCATCAATCAACATACAGTCTTTTTGTGTTGCGTCGCTTCGATACACCTAAAAGTGTTCACTTTCTTGTTGACGCACGCTTGTTTTGTTTCCGATTTCTGCGACGAGCTTTCCAAGGCGGCGTCTCTTTCGCTAAAAGGCGAGACTGCGCCAGCAGCAAGATATGTTTGGTGCAACGGCGACGAGTGCGCGCGTCTTTTTTTTTTTTTTTTGCGAGGACGAGCGGGTAGTGAGTGCTTGACCGCCAACGCTAGAGTATGGGTTCATTTGCTATTTAGTTTCTCCTGGACTAACCTCATCTTTGGATA